ATAGCTGAGCTAAATGAAGAGTGCTATGTTTAATGAAGAAGCTATGTTTAATGTCAAAATCAAAATCTTGGCTGATTTCAATGTGCTGTTGGATGTTGTCCGCCATTGCTTCTGTGGTTAACGTCACGTTGTAATCCAACTGCAGTTGAGTTGGACGGAAATTTTAGTTCAAGATGAGCGTTCGATGACGTATACTATTAAACTCACAAATGGACCAATCAGATATTAGCGCTGATTTCCAGCTGACGGCGTCCTGTCCTAAGAAACCAGGCCTTAAGTTCCACCTTAATTTGTGAAAATCCATCAAGGTTGTACTTAAATTGTATCGATATTTATTTCAGATATTAGGTGCACACGATCGAATGGAATAACTCTTTTCACTGCACGAATAATTCCTCCCCATGATTTCACGTCACTGCCGGTGTTCGAGAATGCTGACAACAGTTATTCATCCTCTGATTGTGACATGAGGAGTACTTTTGATCAGAGGACATTCGACATGCATGTTCAACATTTCTCTAAATGCGGTGTCAGAATTCAACAAGATGCAGAGGGAAAGGTAAGTTAATCTCAATCCAGAGATTTTATTTTATTTTATATCCGTCGTTGAACAGCCGACCCAATTTTGGGTTTTACGACTACTATTGTTCAACTCCGTAGACTTGTAATTTTGAATCCAATCCAGAAGACAAGGACACTCCTGGTATAATTTGCCTTCGTGGAGGACTTTTTTGATGTAGCTAGCCAGCATTTGCTTTACATGGAGAGGAAGACCACGAGAACCTCCCACGGTTAGACTGACGGCGAGGGGACTCGTGACGTCAGGCTAACCATGGGAAGTTTTCGTGCCCTTTCTCTCCATCAAAAAGCCCTCCAGGAAGGCAACATTTCTCCCAATACTTGATTAAGGAGTTTCCTTGTCTTCTGGATTGGGTTCAAAATTACAAAGCTATGGAGTTGAATATTAATCGTCATAAACCTAAAAATTAGGCCGACTGTCCAACGACGGTTATAAAGTAAAATACTCATGAGATGACTATGTTTGCATAAATGTGGGTGTCAGTAAAGGGTGGTCAAGAAGAGAAAGAATGGGGAGCTATTTTCTCTAGCGCGTCCTTTCACTCCTCATCGAACTTCTTTTTTTTTCTTGTTAGGAATTCAGAATTTATATGGTTTCAGTTCGGTTATTTGTGAGTAATTTTTTGCTAGTTAAGAGCATAAAAATTCAAGCGTAAGACCAGTGTTTCACAACGGGTAATATTGTGAAAATCTTACCCATCTTCCCTTAAAAAAGTAAATTTTTTGAAATCGACTAGAGGATTTTTATAATTCAACCTCAATCCTAAAAGTATTTTAACATAGAAAAAAGGCCCTGTAAAGTCTTAAGATAATGGCACCGCAGATTGCTTTTAAGAGATTGGCTTGAGAACATTTAAAGTGAATGTAAAATCATGCCAAGATGGATGCGTTTAGAAGAATACATAGAAGTACGATGTTTTAGAAACAGAAGTTGAGCGTAATAAAAACATTTAGAAACGGTTACGGTTTATAATGAACACTAATATGTCAAATGGATGTGAACAAATAATGTAAAGATTTCTGTGAATGGCGTACATCAATATCGGATCTGCAAGCTGTTGATCAGTGTGAATCGTAGAGTTAAGACTCGTGAAATCTGTACAGCACTTTGTGCTTGAGAAGAAACGGTACAACTATACCTGATGCAACTAAAAGTCATAATACATCGTATTACCCTATTCTAAACGCAGTTCTTTTAGCCCAGCTTTACATTCACTTTAATTGCTCTCATGTGACTGGGTTAATCAATTACATGGAGTCTGCAGTACATTTCGGCGCTTTATGACTGTTTCTGACACGGTCCATCTGCTTTCATTTTTCTTTCAGGTAACCACTGTAGTAATCACTTGATTACTATAGAGCTTAATTATCGTATATCTTTTGATTGTCATCCTTGCAGTATGATTACTTGTAATTGTTGTTTACGGTGTTACGTCATCTATCTAATCTTTTCCGTAGTTATGCTATTTGTAGATAGAATAGGCAGATCGTTTTAATGTATTAAAACATCTTTATTAGTAAGAAAAAAATAAATAAACTCACCAACGTAATGCATAACAAAATTAAAAGTGAAAAAGAGAATTCTAAGAAATTATCAAACAGCAGCTGTCACCATAGCAACGCATGCTATCAGTTTGAGGCCCTCTTTATTCGTGATATTCACCTGAATTAGTATTGAAAACGATCCAGTTTGAACTGTTGGTTAGAATTTCTGATTCAATTAAGACAATAAAAACAAAAATATCGTTCAAATGATTCAAATGATGATCTCAAGAAGTATTTATGGGANACCTAAAAATTAGGCCGACTGTCCAACGACGGTTATAAAGTAAAATACTCATGAGATGACTATGTTTGCATAAATGTGGGTGTCAGTAAAGGGTGGTCAAGAAGAGAAAGAATGGGGAGCTATTTTCTCTAGCGCGTCCTTTCACTCCTCATCGAACTTCTTTTTTTTTCTTGTTAGGAATTCAGAATTTATATGGTTTCAGTTCGGTTATTTGTGAGTAATTTTTTGCTAGTTAAGAGCATAAAAATTCAAGCGTAAGACCAGTGTTTCACAACGGGTAATATTGTGAAAATCTTGCCCGTCTTCCCTTAAAAAAGTAAATTTTGGGAAATCAGCTAGAGGATTTCAATAATTCAACCTCAATCCCAAAAGTATTTTAACATAGAAAAAAGGCCCTGTAAAGTCTTAAGATAATGGCACCGCAGATTGCTTTTAAGAGTTTGGCTTGAGAACATTTAAAGTGAATGTAAAATCATGCCAAGATGGATGCGTTGAGAAGAATACATAGAAGTACGATGTCTTAGAAGCAGAAGGTGAGCCTAATAAAAACATTTAGAAACGGTTACGGTTTATAATGAACACCAGTATGACAAATGGCCATGAACAAATAGGGTAAAAATGGTGTGAATGGCGTACATCAGTATCGGATCTACAAGCTTTTGATCAGTGTTAATTGTATAGCTTAGACTCGTGAAATCTGTGCAGCACTTAGTGCTTGAGAAGAAACGGTACAACTACCTGCTGCAGCTGAAAGTCATAATACATCGCATTACCCTATTCTAAGCGCAGCTGCTTTAGCACAGCTTTATATTCACTTTAACTGCTCTCGTGTGAATGGGTTAATCAATTACACGGAATCTACTGTACATTTTGGCGCCGAATGACTGTTTCTGATGCTGTCCATCTGCACTCACTTTTCTTTTGGGTAACCACCGTAGTAATCGCTTGATTACTATAGAGCTTAATTATCATGTATCTTTTGATTGTTACCCTTGCAGTACGATTACTTGTAATTATTGTTTGCTGCGTTATATCGTCAGCAGTAAACTAATAATGTCGAAGCTCTTCCGTAGTTATACTATTTGTAGAAAGAATAGGCATATCGTTTTAAGATATTAAAACATCTTTCTTAGTAAAAAATAAATAATTAAACTCACCAACTTAATGCATAACAAAATTAAAAGTGAAAAAGAGAATTTTAAGAAATTATCAAACAGCAGCGGTGGCCATAGCAACGCATGCAATCAATTTGGGACCCTTTTTATTCCTGATATTAAACCTGAATTAGTATTGCAAACGATCCAGCTTGAACTGTTGGTTAGAATTTCTGATTCTTAATTAAGACAGTAAAAACAAAAATATCGTTCAAATGATGAAATTCTTTTTTATTCGCAACTCAAGAAGTATTTATGGGTCCCACATCTCAAAAATAATCTCACCAACTTAATGCATAACAAAATTAAAAGTGAAAAAAGGAATTGGAAAAAAATTATCGAACAGCAGCGGTCGCCATAGCAACGCATACAATGACGACGCATGCGCACTGTCTACTATTACTCTTGAACACAGTTGAAAAGTGTTATGACGTCTAAATAAGATGCACACGCCATCAAACCCAAAACAAGACCCGTTTTGCTAGTTTGTAAAAAAGCTAAAAGTTTAAAGTTTTTATTGTTATTTCAGGAATGGATGTCTGTCACCTTAAGATTTCCTTTTGTTAAGGGTTTAAGAATGGCTGAGGATGAATACGTTATGATTATGTGTCGACCACAGGAACGAATCGCATTCACACACCATATCATGGATATGCGAGGGTAATTACACTTTTTATAACTTCTTATTTAATAATGACAATCTGGAAATTATGGTTCCTGATTAGAAAAGTAATTCAAAGTTCGGAAAACTTAAAGTTAACTGCATATTTCTCCATAACTTCAACAATGATAAAACAGATGAAATTTTTTTAAAAATAATTATAAAACTACAATTATTCTGCATGCAAAAAATATTTTTAATAATGATTGAATATTTTTATTATTTAATTTGCTGACAGATGAAAATATTTTGAATTGTTAGGTTTACAAATTAGGACGTAATTTTTATCTTCGAAATTTTAAATGATAAAATTCTTGAGAAATGAAAATTTAAAAGGTAATGCCTTTGCAGTTGGCTTAGAGCAATTGTTTCATGCTAAATTATATAGTTAATCCTTATCTTGATTAAATGAACTTCTAAGAAAGTGTTTTTTTTTAATCTTATAACGTAAAATCACCAGGAAGGGCAACAAATAATAATAAATAAAATAAACTCTTTATCTTTTTAACTCTATCAATTGCGTTGGTCTTTCGTTATGTTGTTCTTGATGTAAATCCTTCAGTTTTTTGAACATGATTCCATAGCAGTTTTTTGATTGTTTACTTTCCTTACCGTCCTGTATGAAGAACGGGTATTCATCCGTGAATGACCGAAATTAAGAAAATGTCGACTTTCACCGATGAATGTCAACAATCTCATAGTCGCTTAGGTGAATTTCGGAAACATTTGTTATATCCGATTTGATATTAATTTATTCGTTGATATTATTATATTTATTCGATATTTAAATATCTTCTGAGGATAGATTGGGAGAAACATCAGTGTTCGGAGTACCGGTTAAATGTATACTGGGGACTGGCACTTGACCCTTAAAAAACATCAGTGTAGGGTATACCGGGAAAATGTATACCGGGCAATGATACTTAACTAGACCTAGTATCTATTTCGGACATTTACCAAAGCAACTATGTGATTGCTAACATCACTATGTGATTGCTATGTGATAACTAATGATACTTAACTAGACCTAGTATCTATTTCGGACATTTACCAAAGCAACTATGTGATTGCTAACATTCACTCGCGGAAGTCAAAAATTTTCGATTGCAGGAAGTAACTAAAAAAAAACAGTATAAAATGGCAAACGTGGGTAATTGAAACACTCTCTAATAAAGTTGTCTGAAATATTAATCCGTTTTAGATAATAGAAAATACTAAGATTTATGGGCCATTCATAAATAGTGTCACACTTTTTTTGTGTTCAATATTTTTTTAATCCCCCCTTTTCTCCTTTGTTACAATGTGAAACACTTTACTATTACTCCTATGCCCCGATTGTCACGCTATATTGCATAAACTTATGCAAACAGTTCAGAAACAAAACGCATAATTTAAGTTATTTCTGAACTTAAATTATATGTTTTAGTGACGTTTGTGAGCTTAATGAATGACTGGTCGTGCCATATGAATGAAAAATATGAAAATATATTATCTTTGTTTTTACCAAAAAGTGTAGTGCCATGCATTTTGCAACCCCCCTTCCTTGTTTCAATTTACCGAACCAACTCCCTACGCACCAAGAATGATATCATTTGTGGATGGCCCCTGAAAATAAAAGACAAACATATAGTATGTCTGCGTAAAGAACTCCCTTATCAATTCGTCTGAAGTAGTGGTGGTGACTATGGTTACAAGGTTTAACCATTTCAAGTAGGGGTGCTGGGTCATTATTTAAGACAGGGTTTGGCTCGGGTTGGAGAGAGAAAGGGAATAAGGGGAGAAAGAAGCTCCCCTCTTTTTAATGCGCTATTTCTTGTTTCCATAGCAGCAGAAACTTCGTGGCCAGGGGAATTCTTTCAATAGACAAACTATATTTCTCATGTAACTGATGTAAACATTTCAATGCAGGCGTTCATCAGAAGCAGATCTCAGGAAAGTGTTCAGCATTTCTCGTGATGTGTTTTGCAAGGTATCCCTGATGACAACAGCACAAGGGACTAAATCTTTCAGCAGAGAGATAAAGACGGGACAAGTCTTGAATTTGGGACAAGATTTACAAATTAGAGCCATCATCAGAGAAGGAAGCGGTAAGAGCATATTATGTTTTAACGTGATACACTAGGTTAATCGTTTCGGTACCTCTAATTTCAAAATCACGTAGCATTGCTGTCTGTAGCTGCACTCTAACCTTTTCTTAAAGTTATGAAACATCTAACTGAGACACTCTGTATGCAAGATGTTCTCTAATTATCACCCTTTATGCATACATTTAGAATCCTTGTCAAGAATAAAGCTTAAAAAAATTTACATATAAGGATTGTAAATTAGTATCTTAGCCCGGGAAAAATAAAATGAACTGACGAGTCATTTACGAGAAAGGAACGACTCGAATGTGATTTTAATGTTTGATAAACGGATGAAATGAGAGGCACTAATTAGTTTGGATGCTTTTAATTCCTGAATAATAATATGTAAAAATTTGATGGATTTTTGTTTTTGTCCCCCCTTAAAATTGTAGGCTTAGGAGAACAATTTAGAACATTTTTGGGTAGTAATGAGCTCAGTAATTGAGACACAAAGTAAAGAATTGCTGTTCGTTCCTAAGCAGTGGCTCAAAGTCAACCCAGTTTCTGATCAATGGGGACCAGTTGAGCCGTGATGGCTCAGGGAATTGAGCATCTGCTTTCCAATGAGGTGAACCGGGTTCAAATCTCAGTGATGGCTGGTCGATGCAAATTCCGTATTCGGCTTGCACCGATCACAGCACTGAAATGAAAATAACCTCAGTGGTAAACAGATCATGGGTTAGAGTCCCCTTGCCGTCAGGCTAACCGTAGATGGGTTTCTCTCCCAATTGCGGGTTATTTCCAGCAAAAAAGTCTTCCACGAAAGCGAATTTCTCTCAATGCTTAATGCAGCAAATCCCTTGTCTTCTGGATTGGGTACAAAATTGCAAGGCTACGGAGTTGAACATTAGTAGTCGTAAACCTAAAAATGGGTCGGCTGTTCAACGACGGTTATAAAATAAAAATAACTACATTGCTTAATTGTTTTCCATTAATTTAATTTAATTCTTAAATTTGTTTTCCATGTACTAATTTTTCCTTTACAGCAAGCTTAGACAAACGAGCTAAAGTGTAAGGTTGTAGGATTGGGCACTAGGTCGTTGTAGGATTTGGCGCGTCTTCTGGGCGACGGCTGTGTGGTATCCGTGTCCGGGGGACTTGGGTCCTACGGACCTCCGGAATGTTGAGAACGATGATTTAATGCAGTGGCCCTGTAAGGCAGTAAAGCCTCTTCGCGGGTGGGCTGCCCACCTGCTGTGACCAAACTACATTACTGGTGTACAACATCCTCAGAGGTAGACGGATTATGGACAGGAATCCTTATTCCCATCGTCTTAACCGTGTGAAGGTTTCGAGGTTTTTATATCCATCATTTAGTTCCAAAAAAAGTCTTTCACTAAGGCTTTCGTACTAATGCTTGGTCCAAGAGTTCCCTTGGTTTCTGGGTTGCGTTATATAGCTACTAAGCTACAAAGTTTAAACATTGATAGACGTAAAATCAAAAATCTGTCGGCTGTTCAACCCCTGTCATAAAATCATGTTTTAGATTTTAGAGAGAACGTTTCAGCTGTTGAAAAACTGTTTTAATATGAAATTTTCTTTCATAGGATGGAAGTATGCTATGTTGAAAGAGGTGGTCGTTTCTTGCCCCAGAGATGAAGCTCAGTCAAGCTATTTTAATGATTTTGGGAGCAACGAAGATGGAGAGAATGCCGTTTACAGTGACAAGCGAAGTGCCCATTCATCAGTTACGAATTCGGCACTACTAGTTTTTAACAATGGGTAAGTCAGGACTAGGGATGACCTCAATCAGACAAATTAGATGAAATATGCGGTGGTGGCTAGTTGATTCGTGCACTAACCCCTACACGTATCGACCGAGTTCAATGCTGTTGCAAAATACCTCTTTTTATAACCGTCGTTGAACAGCCGACCCAATTTTGGGTTTAAGACTACTAATGTTCAACTGCGTAGTTTCGTAATTTTGAACCCAATCCAGAAGACGAAAGAACGCCTGGATGAAGCATTGGGAAAAATTTGTATTTGTGAAATACTTTTTGATGGAACTAACCCGCATTTGTGTCACATGGAAAGGAAAACCACGACAATCTACGACGGGAAGCCTGACGGCAAAGGGACTCTAACCCATGATCCGTCTACTCGTGAGGATGTTTTACGTCAGCACTGTGGTCAGTGTAAGCAGGATGCGGATTTCGTATCGAACAGTCATCCCTGGGATTCGAACCCGGTTCGTTTCATTGGAAGGCGAATGCTCTACCCCAGTGGCTCCCAACCTTTTGGGGACCATCGCCCCCCCCTCTTGGGGCTGGCTGACACATATCGCCCCTTTCTCTTTTTGCTCAAAAAACCATTCATTGTTGCTTCTGAGCAACCAAACCCTGAATATATGCAATGTTATTTGATTTTAATTTAAATTGCAATGCAAATAAGGTGGCACATTTATCCTGTCATTTTTATTAATTAAAAAAAATTGTGCATTTTTTTTTTCTCAAAAAGAAATGATATTTAAAACGGAATAATAAGAAAAAAGTACATTGTTTTAAATTCATATTTTAATGTAATCAAGAAAAAGTTAAAACGTTAACAACTAAAATTTGAGAAAAAAAATGAAGATTGAGAAAGTACATTTTTACCACTTCAATGACTGCCCTGTGCTTGGTGTATTTCAAGTTAAAGCTTGAATGTCAGGTTTTATGCTCCTCAGATTTAAACGCGGGTCTCCTTTGAAGCAAATGTCCAACCTTTCTCTTTGCATTGTGAGCAGCTGGAAGACAGAACTTAATCCTGTCTCTACTAAATATGTTGACGGGAACGAGATAAGAAGCGGCTCAGTTTATTTCCACAATTGTGAATAAGTGTCCATAAGCTTTACCCAAGCTAACTTGTAACCGTATTTTTAAAGACGACTTTAGCCTCACAGTCATACTTCAAATCTAAAATCTCAGTCTGCAAAGAGGAAGTGAGCTTATCCACAACTTCAAAAGAGAAAGGATCGAAAATTCAATCCGGAATTTCTAATTTCATTAAATCTTCAAATCTTGATTCCATAACTGATCAAGGTGATCAATAAAAATTAAGATTTTATTTTCTAGAATCTCGATATCTGCCATTGAACACTTTTTAAGAGTTGGAAGTTGCATTAGCTCTTTGCGACCAATGTTTGACTTGTAGATATCAAACTTGGCGATGGATGAAGATATGATTCCCTTAGTCTTGATAACGTTCATTTTATTTCCTTGAAGTGATGCCAGAAATAACCAATTTTTCGCAGCCAAAAGTTGACGATGAATGACATAATGAATGGTGAGATAACTTCCGGTACTTCTTATTTAAGGTGACCCAGAAACCCAGTATGACAACCGGACATGGTTGGAGCACCATCTGTTGCACAAGCACTTACATTTGTGAGGGGAATTTCTTTTACCTCAAAATAATCTTTGACCAATTTAAAAATCGACGATCCTTTTGTATCTGTGTTCAAAGTTCTTGTAAACAACATTTCCTCGTTAATCTCCTTACTCTCATTTATGAATCTCACGTAAGCTAAAACAGCTTTGTTATCTATCACAGTTGATTCATCAATCTGCAACGCAAATTTACCTTCTTTCAGAAATTTGATGAGTTTTGATTCAACGTCGGCGGCCATCTCATCAATACGCCTGGAAACAGTATTATTGCTCAGAGGAACAGAGTGACTTATCAGATTTCCGCCTGCGATACCAAAACGTATGACGAAAACGATCCTGCACTTGAATTTTTTTTTAATTTTTAACTATCATAATTCTTTGTCTACACCAGAGCCATAGGTTTCATATATATTTTCAATTTCAATCTCAAATAGCTTTTATTATTAATATTATTAGCAATTTTTATCTTTTGAGTACTCGTCGCCCCCTTGAGAAGCTCTATCGCCTCCAGGTTGGGAACCACTGCTCTACCCCTAAAGCCATCAGGGATCGTAAAATACCTCTTGTGGTAAACAGATCTGAGTAGAGAAAGAGATTTTGCGTACCCCATGTGTAGGGTAAGCTTATTTCTTTCTTCTTGCCGAGATGTGCTGAGTTAATCCAACTAGACAAAAGCCACACTACCTATGCCTAGCGGTGATGTAACATTTATTTAATGACATATACATGTTGAGTATTTTCTTCCCAATACAAAGATCGTCTTATAAACCTTTGTCATGTTAAAGAGGTACTGATAGCACTAAATAGAGAATGTCTACACATTGATACGAAAGATTTATAGTGGGATTCGAACCCACTATTTCCACAGCTTAATGCATTTTGTGGAAGGACAATATCTTTTGGTCAAGGGTAGTAATAATAGTTCTTTATGTCGCACTAGAGCTGCACAATGGGGCTATTGCCGACGGTATGCGAAACATAAGATTTCTAATAATCTTACAGATTATTAGAAATCTTCATTTTAAATTTAGAAAATTATTAACCTCTAAAACACACCTAATGAAGCCACTTAGTTCCACGCAGCTGTGTGAGTACTTCTCAGAGAATCAAAATTACGATGGCATGTATTCGGATCATCCTCAGGGATGTTTCCCAGACCGTCGCCAATGGCCCATTGCGAAGCTTTAGTGCGACGCAAGTAAAGTACCTACCTGTCAGACTATATTCTTAATACAATCTTAAAAATAAGTGGGAGAAATAACTTTCGATATTCTCAAGATTTTTTTAAGGAAAATCATAAGATTTTTTTTAGTGAAGATGCCATCACAATTCTGATCCTCTGCAGAGAGGATGGCTTTACCGCTTTAGTAACCCGCCAGCGCACGAAGTAGATTTTTTTACGGTAGAACAGTTTCAGTAGGACCGATATTGAGCACCCTCAGGCCGTCACAGTCAGGTCAAAATGGTTACCTACCCGCTCACTGACCTATGCTAATAATGCTTGACTTCAGTAGCCTGGATCCCTTAGGTCTCGGAAGTTTCGTGTTACAATATAATAATTGAAGCCAAATAAATGCTTGCGTTGGTGTAACATCATTAAGTATATATAAAAATAAAATGGTGGCGCTACATATGATTGAATTCCAGCTAAATCTAACATAGACGGCAGGCATAATATTAAGACTCAGTTAGCATAACTGCCAGCCTTGTCCTGTAACTTATCACTAATGCCTATTTAAGTCAAACGGGGTGGTGTGACATACCTCTGACGTTACGCCAAGCTTAATGTATCTGTGTAACGTATCAATAAAGGATAAGACATACCAATAATTCCTAAGTAAGCCAATTTGAATGCGCGACATACCATTAGGATAAGTTTAGCCTAATGTGTTGATGCAAGGTATCGTTATGGCCTTACCTAACTTGATGCTTTAACATTCCACTAAAGCATTATTTAGAAGTGTAACATACCATTAAGGCCTATCTAAGCTTAGCTTGGAGGTGTAACATAACATTAGGCTTAGTTAAGCGTAGCCTGGTGATGTAACATACCACTAAAGCCTAACCTAGTGATGTAACATACCACTAAGGCCTAGATAAGCCTAACCTGGTGATGTAACATACCACTAAGGCCTATCTAAGACTAACCTGGTGATGTAACATACCACTAAGGCCTCGGCTAAGCCTAACCTAGTGATGTAACATACCACTAAGGCCTAGCTAAGCCTAATGTGAAGGTGTAACATACCATTAGGCTTAGCTAAGCCTAACCTGGTGATGTAACATACAACTGGCCTAGCTAAGTCTAACCTGGTGATGTAACATGCCACTAAGGCCTAGCTAAGCTTAACCTGGTGATGTAACATACCACTAAGGCCTATCTAAGCCTAACCTAGTGATGTAACATACCACTAAGGCCTAGCTAAGCCTAACATGATGATGTAACATACCACTAAGGCCTAGCTAAGCCTAACCTGGTGATGTAACATACTACTAAGGCCTAGCTAAGCCTAACCTGGTGATGTAACATACCACTAAGCCCAAGCTAAGCCTAACCTGGTAATTTAACATACCACTAAGGCCTAGCTAAGCCTAATGTGAAGGTGTAACATACCATTAGGCTTAGCTAAGCCTAACCTGGTGATGTAACATACCACTAAGGCCTAGCTAAGCCTAACCAAGTGATGTATCATACCACTAAGGCCAATCTAAGCCTAACATAGAGCTGTAAAATACCATTAGGCCTAGCTAAGCCTAATGTAAAGGTGTAAAATACTTTAGGCTTAGCTAAGCCTAACCTGGTGATGTAACATACCACTAAGGCCTAGCTAAGCCTAACCTAGAGCTGTAAAATACCACTAAGGCCTAGCTAAGCCTAACCAAGTGATGTATCATACCAGTAAGGCCAATCTAAGCCTAACATAGAGCTGTGAAATACCATTAGGCCTAGCTAAGCCTAATGTGAAGGTGTAAAATACTTTAGGCCTAGCTAAGCCTAACCTGGTGATGTAACATACCACTAAGGCCTAGTTAAGCCTAACCTAGAGCTGTAAGATACCATTAGGCCTAGCTAAGCCTAATGTGAAGGTGTAACATACCATTAGGCTTAACTAAGCCTAACCTGGTGATGTAACATACCACTAAGGCCTGGCCTAGCTAAGCCTAACCTGGTGATGTAACATACCACTGAGGCCTATCTAAGCCTAACCTAGTGATGTAACATACCACTAAAGCCTAGCTAAGCCTAACCTGATGATGTAACATACCACTAAGGCCTAGCTAAGCCTAACCTGGTGATGTAACATACCACTAAGGCCTAGCTGAGCCTAACCTGGTGATGTAACATACCACTAAGCCCAACCTGGTAATTTAACATACCACTAAGGCTTAGCTAAGCCTAACATAGAGCTGTAAGATACCATTAGGCCTAGCTAAGCCTAATGTGAAGGTGTAACATATCATTAGGCTTAGCTAAGCCTAACCGGGTGATGTAACATACCACTAAGGCCTAGCTAAGACTAACGTGAAGGTGTAACATACCATTAGGCTTATCTAAGCTTAACGAGGCGGCGTAACATATTATGGCCTAACGAAGCCTATTGTGGAGATGTAACATATCGCTAAGGCTTAGCGAAGCCTGACACGACGGTGTAACATTCCATGAAGGCAAAAGTAAGCCTCACTTAGTGGTGTCACTTATCAATGGGGTTTATCATGATTGACACTAATGTAACTTACAACTAACCAGATAAGCCTACCGTGGCCATAACCTTAACGACTAGGTAAATCTAACGAGGCAGTTGAACCCATCATAGCTTAGATAAGCTTAACCCAGTTGCGTAACATACCATTAAAAATTAACTGATTTCTGCATTACTAAGCTCTGCTTTAATGTTATTGTTAAAGCCGTCGTTGTTAATTACATTATAGTTAATTAGTTTTCAAACGCAGCAATTACTTATTCGACTTATTATTTGCATGAACAGCAATATCTTTAAAATACTACACTTTATATCAAATTAATATCCAATAAACTGTTGCGATCGTGCGTCACCATGACGGCTTTCAAATGCAAAGATGGTTCCCAAATTGTGTTTCTGCCGAACACTTTGAACTTTTGAGGTATCAGGGTCGAATCCTGGAATAACCCTGTTTTTTGTTTGTATTATCTGTTATCTCTCTCTCTCTCCTCGACAAATGTTTATAAGTCATAGTGTACTGGTTGTAGTCATGTTTATAAGTCATAGTGTACTGGTAGGACGCGATTCCCAGAAGAACACCGAAGTCAAGCTGGCTGAGGTTAAAGAGCGGGTGGATGATCACTTTAATCAGAATTTGAAAGGTTCTTGTTAAACTGTTCTAAGTGTTCAGTTTCACGCGTAGATCGTCGGACTACCAAAAGGAGGGGGCATTCCATATGCAGAGGATGAAAACTGTGATGGCATGTCTTCGGATCCATCCTAGGGATGCTTCCAAAAACCGTCATCACTAGTTTATTGAGATGCCGGCTCAGGGGATAGAGCGCTTGTCTTCCAATGAGGTGAACCGGGTTCGAATCCCAGCGATGGCTGATCTATACGAATTCCACACTCCCACCGACCACAGTGCTGACGCAAAATATCCTCCGTGGAAGCCGGATCATTGGTTAGAGTCCCCTTGCCGTTGGGGTAACCATGTAATGCAAATGTTGGTTAGTTCCATCAAAAAGTCCTCCACGAAGACAAATTTCTCCCAATACTTGATCCAGGAGTTCCCTTGTCTTCTGGATTGGGTTCAAAATGACAAGACTACAGAATTGAACATTAGTTGTCGTAAACCCAAAATTGGATCTGCTGTTCAACGACGTTTATAAAAAAGAGGTATTTTGCAGCACTTCCTATTGTGCCGCTTATTTTGTATTCAAAGGGCAGTGCAGTCATTATAAGAGCAACTAATATGCATAGAGGACTCTTTCGTACCTTTTCTTATAACTTAAGTGTGTCATGTATTCTGTAATAACTCACATATTTTGTAAATTCCCATATAGATGCCGGAATCCTATTTACAAGGCTATCGCTCCCCATCACCCACAGAGAAACTCTAGTCATCCATTGATGGTAACTTTCACATTTAAAGCCTTCATGTTTCAAAATATGGTGGACGGAGATGTCTTAAGATTATCCATTAAAGTGATCGCCTGTGCTGACCTCTCTGACTGCCAACCGGTAAGTTTTGAGGGTTATCAGTCCCTTTTTCGTATTATCGCTATCAATCACCTTCAGTTTGCTTTTATAATATGAATGCATTTTATTTTATAACAGTCGTTGAACAGCCGATCCAATTTCATGGGTTTACGACTACTAATGTTCAACTCCGTAGCCTTGTAATTTTGAACCCAATTCAGAAGACAAGGGAACTCCTGGATCGAGTATTGGTAGAAATTTGCCTTAGTGGAGGACTTTTACGGTGAAGCTAACCCGCATTTGCGTTACATGGAGAGGAAGACCACGAGAACCTCCCACGGTTATCCTGACGGCAACTGAGGATATTTCACGTCAGCACTGTGGTCGGTGCAAGGCGGATGCGGAATTCGTATCGAACGGGATCCGAACTCGGTTCGCCTCATTAAAAGGCGAACGTTCTATCCCCTGAACCATCGCGGCTCATTATGAATGAATTTTTTATTTTATTTTATAACCGTCGTTGAACAGCCGACCCAATTTCATGGGTTTACGACTTCTAATGTTCAACTCCGTAGCCTTGTAATTTTGAACCAATCCAGAAGACAAGGAAACTCCTGGATCAGTACCCCCAGAGGTATTGATTTGTTATGGGAACATGGAGGACTTTGGGACCCGACAGATTTAACGTGCATCAGTCACCATTTACTACACGGGGAGTCTTCGGCCGGCGAGGATCGAACCCACGACCTCTTGGATATGGACCCAGCGCCCTACCGACCAGGCTATCCCTGCCCTTTATGAATGCATTCTAAATAATTTAGTAGACATAAGTCTGTCTACAAGATCATAACGAGGATATTTCTGTATCGTTATTTGTCAAGCCAACAACAATCGCCAAGGTGCCAAATAAATTCTAAACTTGCAAATTTAAAAAAAAAAAAAAAAAAAACACGTAGATGTTTGCTCTGTAGTGTCAACGAGCTATACCTTTCGAATCGGTCCCTTTCTGTGATGTTTTTTTTTTTCTTCTTTAAATTTCTCGCGGGATGTTGCCAAGGCTTGGTTATGATTCTGTCGCAGATCACGATACGGATATCTCCCCTTTAAGAAATTGTAATAACTATTGTAAGGTAAGAGCAAAAAATACCAAATTTAAGGTGGAAGCTCTTCTGCCAAAGAAAATAATACATGCCCATCAACAACTATGGAATTATCATAGTCCTTGAAAATACTTTCCCCAGTGGTAACAAAAGTAAATAATATTTCCTTTCATAGGAATCAAAAGAATTATAACAGTAGTATATTACATGGACACAATTATATATAAACTAATACAGTGGTGGCTGAGGTGTTAGAGCTCTCGTTTTATTACTGTCATCTAAAACCTAACTCGCCTTAAAATTGATGTCATCTGAAACATACCTTACAATAAAATTCAAATTTTAACCGAACATTCTTATAATTTTTCTAGAGATTTTGTGAGAGAGACTTTCCAAAAATTTCTGAAGAAAGAAAACGAAGGGAATCTGTGAATCGAAAAATCAATCAGATGAAGGATTTTGCGGAAAATTTTGAGTTAAACGTGGCTCTCGGAGGATTTTCCAAATGTGAGTAAGAGTAAGAATTTATTCTAAAAGTGAGTAGTAATTACTTATTATCAAGTTTAGTAATGCTTCGGCTGGGACTGTCATTAAAAAAGTAATTTAAATGCATAGTCAGCAAAATAGAAAAACCAAACGAGTTTAAATGGTTTTAATAGTATTTCTCAAATTAAACTTCAATTAAGTGTAACTAACGAGATAACGTGGTCCCACATTAAACTTTTAAGTGAGGGGAAACGAGAAACTTATTGATAAAATAAAACACTGTATTTATTTTGTTACACATATAAAACATTCTTTTTATTTTATGCTAGATGTTTTCAACGCTATTTTTATAAAGTTACTCATGTTTAGAACACTATTTTTGCATTCTACATGTTCGAACACTATTTATTTTTACACTCTGCATGTTCGAATCTACATCTAGATAATTCTCTTTGGGACAATTTATGATTTAAAATTAGACAAAGTGGTTTGTTCTCGATTCACCAGATCATTGATTAGATTGAGGCGATTTAAAGAAGCAAAGGATCACAGTGTAGAAATGAGCAACTATTTCTTAGGGAAACAGATGACGTTTTATACTATTTATATTTACATTCTATATGGTCAAACTCTATTTATTTTTAAATTTTGACAGACAAAGAAGTCGTTTACTGTCAATTCACCAGATTGATATGATGGAGGCATTTTAAAGAAACATAGGACATATAGTGTAAAATGAGCAGTTATTTTTCAAGGGTACAAATGACTTCTTGTAAGGTCCGAGTTGCTTTATAATTTATTTCCAGTTGCAAAGAGCTTTTTTTGCTGTTTTGGAAAAAAAAAAGAAAAAAGGGCAGAAGGATTCCAAAAAGCTATTATTTCATTTTTTGAACACTTATTTATGCTGCTCGTTTTTTTCCTTACAACAAAATTAAATTATTAACGCAGCTCGTTTTTTCCCCTTTGATCTCATTTTTACGAGCTTGCATTCGAATGTGAAAGTGTAACCAATGAGATAAATTATTTATTATTCATAATGGCTAGCTTAAAAATTAGTTAGACGTAATTCTAAATACGCAATTCTTGTTAACTCACAGGGGCATTTAATAGTGCTTACTTTGACAGACCAGTGAAGATTTGTATCCATCAAATTAGTAGTGTTAGAACAATGTTCATATACTAAACTAACGTAAAAAGTAGTTGTCAGGAATAGCTACAAACTACTGTTTTTTTTGTATTCGCACTATTTACTACACTACTTTTTTAAAAAAAGTAGCACACTACACTACAAACTACGAAAAAAAGTAGCGATCACAGTAGTTTCACTACTTGTAGTGCCGCTACTTTCGACTACTGTTCATATCTACATAAATTTAAGAAAATAATATAAGGGAAAAAAAGTATATAAAGAAAAATATTAAATTTCGAATGAATTTACGCATGGCGAAAAAAAGTTGGAAACATTTTCTTTAATTAGTTTCAAACGTTTGTAAAACTAATTGTTTAATGTAAATAATGCAATTTTCTTTCAATTGAATCTTTAAATTAAATTACTACAGTAGAAGAAATATAAAAGCAAAATACAAGGGGGCGGTGCAACTTTTTAACGTAAGCATGAGATGGAATTTGTAAATTGCTTATTTCTGTTTACAAAGAAGGGAGATAAAAAAAACAGGCTCATGCAATATTTGAATGGCCTCAATAGGAAGAAACACAGCTAATTGATTCCTCCCTTCTCTTACAAGCGAGACACTAATTAATTATATGAGATTATAATTAAATACGAGGCCTGTCTAAAAAGTATCCGACCTTAATTTTTCCTGCGCAAAGTAGTGACTCTAAGGCGGCGCCTTAGTGCACAGTGGAAGGAGGAACCTTAATGCACAAGACTGAATTTTTTCACCGTGTTCGCTTATGCAACTCGCTGGCTGGTGGTCGCCAAGTAAGGTGCTGTTCGTAGTGTTCGTCGGATTTAGTTTTCTCGCAAGATGACTGAACGAATTAACCAAAGATACTGCATGAAATTCTGTCAAAAGCTTGGTGATTCTCAGAGCCAAACAATTCGTAAGATTCAGCAGGTGTTTGGAGAAGAAGCGATGGGTGTAACACAAATTAAGGAGTGGTTCAACCGATTCAAAGATGGCCGCACATCAGCGGAGAGTGAGCAACGTTGTGGCAGGCCTCAAACTGCTCAGAGTGCAGTTAATGTTGAGAGGTTGTGAAATTTGGTGATGGCAGATCGTCGTTTGACAGTGCGGGAGATTGCAGAAGAGGTTGGAGTGAGTAAAGATTCTGCACATGCAATTTTGCGTGAAGATTTGAACATGAACCGAGTGGCTGCAAAATTCGTACCCAAGTTGTTGTCGCCGGAACAAAAAGCACGCCTCTGCACATTCATCCCAATTGATCCACACTTTCTTAGCCAAACATGGAATTACAACCGTTCGCCAACCTCTCTACTCTCCAGACCTGTCTCCTTGAGACTTCTGGTTGTATCCAAAATTGAAGACGCCACTGAAAGGATCCAGTTTTGAGAGTAGAGAAGAGATAGTGCGGAACGCGACGACGGAGCTGAACACCATTCCAAAAGAAGACTTCCAGAGGTGTTTCCAGCAGTGGAAGGATCGGTGGGCTGAGTGTGTGCAAGCACAAGGGGCCTACTTTGAAGGGTATTAGGGTCCCAACTCCGTCAAGTATTCGAAATATTTTTTCCGGCCAAAGGCCTCGTATGTGCAAAAATTCTATTTCGTGGATAAATATTATAACAAACCTAGCAAAATAAGGTTTATTTTCACTCAGAAAAAACCTTTTAATGTAAACTTAAAAAGTTTTGTTATGCGTAAACCTTCTAACCTTAAAACGAGATCTGTGACAATTTGCTCTATTCTGTGCACATTACCCTCATCCAAAACCTTTGAAAACAACTTTCTATATGAAAACCTTAAATCGAGGTTGTCTTAAGATTTTCATGCATGAAAAATCCTTTCATAAAGCTTGTGTCAAGGTGAAAATAATCTTAAATCTAGGTAATTATAAGGTTTCTTTCCGCAACGTCTTATATGCTCAGCAAATCCCTGTCATGAAATCTTAATGGGCAATGCAATTTGATCCGCTCGCTAGTCAGCTAAAACGTCACGATGGACCTAAGGGACCATTTTACTTTCCTTCATTGAAAAAAGGTTTTTAATACAAACATTTTCGTGACAATAAAAGAAAAATTCCGACACAGGGTTGTCGTAAGGTTACATGCTTTCTGGGATCTATGAGATTTAAGATCTTACTCTTTAATATTTGAGGTCAAGACAAAAGTTAACAAGAGATTTAATTTCCTCAATATATGAGGCTACAAAAAATCTACACGAGATTTAATGACTTAACTTTTAATATTTGATAATTTCATTCAATAATTTCAGTTATTATTTTTAAAATAAAAATCCGATTTAAATAATAATTTTTTTAAACACTATTACTCTTTTCCTATAGTGCCTCTTACCTCACACGCAGAAGAATTTGAAGAACAAACCTCTGAGGGCAATTGTAAATTTTTACTTCTTACAGTGCTGAGTGTGGCCATATTGTTTTTTATCTGTTTAACGGGAGCAGTTGCTATAATAGTTGGAAATCTAAGAAGGAAAGCTTCTACTGGATATGAGAAATAGTGCCATTTCTTTTGTAAGTGCCAACATCACACACGCACATATTTTACCGTACAAAATGAGTCATGTAAGTCTGTGGTTCCCAAATAGTGTTCTGCGGAACCCTACAGTTCCCCAGAAGAATAAAAGAGGTTCCATAAGTTAGTACTTTTTATAGCCTGTGATAATTTTTGAAAACACTGATTATATTTACATCTAACCAACAGCCTTTCAGTTGGTTTCTAAAAATTAATTCGAGTAAAATGCCAATGAAAAAGAAATGGCATTCTTTAAAAGAAAATATAATATTTCTAATAACATATTAAATGAAGAAAACAAGCCTTTTTAAAATATTGGATTAGTATTTCTTACTGCGCTGATCAAATCAAAATAACTAAATTCTTTATTAAAGAAGTATGTTTCTCTAATAATCATTTTCAAGGTTTATAGCAATTGTTTTCAGATTTCAGTTCAAAGTAAACCATAATTTGGTTTATTTTATTTATTTTGAGCTTATGTATATATACCAAAAACAAGTTCATGACTAGACCAGATATAGCACAGACTGCAAATTTAAATGTCAGGCATAAAACCTATTTTAAGCTTATTAATGATAGAACACTGAAAAATCTATCTTCCTCTAATTAAATATTTTAAAAATAGTTTTTAAGAGGTTAATGCATTCAAGGTATCTGCTAAATCTAAAGCTTTTAAATCCATGACTTTCCATAATGTTCCATGACTTACACAGGATAATGCATAATTCAATTTAGTAAAAAAAAAAAAAAAAAAAAAAAAAAAAAAAAAANAAAAAAAAAAAAAAAAAAAAAAAAAAAAAAAAAACATTGTCAAAATGAGTATAACTTTTTCTTCTTCTTAAAAATAATATTGTTTTATCTGAGCAATGCTTTGCCAATTTAAACAAAAGCAATAAAAAAGAGCTGAGCAATTAAGTAAACTAAAGAACAAATAACCTAGCAATTATTTTAACACAGAATTAAAAAAATATTTAATAATGCCTTTAAAGAACATTTACAAAGTAAAAATTTTTTTTATCTGGCAAACTCAAATATGCTATTTTTAAAAGGTCAATTCTAGGAATCAATTTAATTTCAAAGAGACAAAAGTTCCAACATCATTACTTTAAATATATCAAAACAATTTTAATTCTCACAAAAACAAAAAATAAATAAAAATTGACTAATTATGTGGAATATTACATTAATATAGCGTAACTTCAAATTTATAACCAATGGTTTATAACTCTTTGAATTATAATAATTATCATACTTTATAACTGAATAAAACATTGATACAAAACAAGAATCACTGATAATAATCAATGTCAAAAGGGATTAATGGATTTCACTAGAATCAGTACGTAGCAACAGCTTCACCTCACTGATTGAATCAAATAAATTGAAAATTTTTTAGTGAATGAAATAAATTAATTTAATTTAAAAGTATTTCGAGAATAATTCAAATAATTTGTAGGAAATTGATTATCAACTGGTGATAATCAATAATTATCAATTGGTGATAATCAGGGCAAAGATGTTGATGACATTAAAAAAATGCAGAAAAAGCTTCTAAAAGGAATCTTCTTGAAAAATAATGGCCTTCGAAATGTTTTATCGTGTATTCACAAAACATGTTTTACTTTTGCATTTTTATTATAAATCGTTATTTGAATTTAAAAATTTAATAAAAGTAATAATTTAAAAAATATGTAATTCATAAATAAAATGTAAAGTAAATCAAAATAAAATACTTGATAAAGATTTTCTCAATTTTTAGTTACAATACTCAAGAACCAGGGTATGGGTTTCAGATGCCCTAAACAGGTTTTGGAGAGGACATTTGGGTTTTACTGTCTTAAACTGACTAAAACTGTCTTAAAGTGTCCAAAACCTTGAACAATGGTAAAAGGTAAAAATTCTATAGGTGTAACCATTGTGCACAAAATAATCACATATATTAATAAATATTTGATACTTTTTATACAATTTGCTTTAACTTTTTTCAGGAAAATAATATAATAGGAAAAGATTTATAACTTTTGAAGCTATACAATTCACTGAACAACAAAAATGATTACCTTATCCCTTAAATATGAATAAATATGCTTTTAATACTGATAAATTATATTTTTGCATAAGAATAAATAATGCAATATTGAAAATAATAATTAACTTTTTTAATAAACCAAAACTTGTCTTCATTTTGTTTCTTGTTCAAAAATTAACATTTTATTTTTCACAATAATTTATTTAAAATTGTGACATAATTTGAGTTAATAGGTTTTGGACAGGACGGTTTAAACCATGGATTAATCCATTCTGTCCTAAACCTTGCAAACTCAGCCAAGGACATCAAAATTGCATTGTATTATCAAATGCTTTTGATATTTTTAAAATTGAAAGACAGCACTATGTTCAATGGCAAATTCTTATATCCTGAAAAGCTCTGTTCAACATTAGCATTCTTCATTAGAATCAATTTAAACAAACAAGAATCAGAACAAAATTTATCCCAATTCATTAAGAAAAAAAATTAATTCCCAAACAAAATGCTGTGAAATTGAAAAATATCATTAAAACTCATAAAAATTATAGAAAAAATTTGAGAATTATAAAAAGGCACGTAAAGCCTTAAAAGTGAAGAAAAATATTTAATTTAGATACAAAACATTTATTATTTTTTTAACATCCTAGTCTTGGGGATAACATATAACAAGCATGTTAAAAGGGATCGAAAAATTTAAGAAAATCAGTATTGTATTATCATATAACGCAGTATGAATATAATTAAATCAAAATCTTGTACGAAAAACTTAAATTTGTTAATATTAAGGAAATATTTATATAATGATGGCTTTGTAAAAACAAAAGTACAAATTCAAAAGTAATATGTTAAGTACTGACTATTTAATGACTGACTATATTATTATAACTAAATTTTTCAAGTTATTATTTTTTTTAAATATATATTACCTTACTGAACCTTTAAAATTATTTATTAACAATAAATTATAAGTTTGTACTTTTTTGCATTAATTTTTTCTCCCTGATCAGATAAACATGAAGAAACAAATAGTTATTATTTTTTTTTTGGGGGGGGGGGGGAATNTTTTTTTTGGGGGGGGGGGGAGTAAGAATCTTATCACCACTCAATAAAAATCACTTTTTTTATTAGTGTTTTGGAGTAAATTGAAAGTGGTTTGCACATTTTTTTCATTTCAGATAGTCGCCTTTTTTTAAAAAATTTCATTGAGCATATATCTAAGTTCATCTACTTGTATTGGATTTCATTGCTTTGTAATATTATGTATTTTAGAAAGCATATAATACAGATGTAATATTTGATTATATTTTACTTTCAATAAAATATTATTTACTTGTAATTTCTTAATTATAATGCAGTACAATTTGGAAAAAATACACTAAGCATTTTTTAATAATACATACATTATTAAAGGCTTTGTTTTCAAGAAAAGAAAAACAGAAACATCGAAATCTATAAATATATGAGTATGTGCAATTTATTTTTATTCTTTTGTAGCATAATGCAATTTTTTAAAAAAAAAAATATTTTTTTTTATAAAACATCAGTTAAAAAAATTTCGTTAGACTAAACTTTTACCATACATTCAAAATTAATGTTCACTATGTTTTTCTTTGAATAAATTCTTTATTAAAAATAACAAAATACTTCAAGTATAAATACAAAAAAAAAACAAAAAAAAAACAACAACAATTAGAAGTGTCTATCCTAAGTTGTTAAAGATCGTCTCATTGCTTTGTAATATCATGTATTTTAGAAAGCATATAATACAGACGTGTTATTTGATAATATTACTTTCAATAAAATATTATTTACTTGTAATTTCTTTTATTATTAAGCAGTACAATTTAAAAAAAAAATGTATTAAGCGTTTTTTGATAATACATACATTATTAGAGGCTTTGTTTTCAAGAAAAGAAAAGCAAAAATATTGAAATATATAAATATGTGTGTGTGCAATTTATTTTTATTCTTTTGTAGCATAATGGAATTTAAAAAAAAAAAAATTATTTTTTATTATACATCAGCTCAAGAAAATTTTTTAAAACAATTCTGTTAGAATAAACTTTCACTGTACAATTAAAACTAATGTTCACTATGTTTTTCTTCTAATAAATTCCTTCTTAAAAATAACAAAAAACATAAAGTATAAATATTACACACGCACAAAAAAACAAAACAATTAAAAGTGTCTATCCTAAGTTGTTAAAGACTGTCTCATTGCCATGTAATATCATGTATTTTAGAAAGCATATAATACAAATGTGTTATTTGATTATATTACTTTCAATAAAATATTATTTACTTGTAATTTCTCTTATCATTATACAGTACAATTTGGAAAAAATGTACTATGCATAAATCATTAGTGGCTTTGTTTTCACGAAAAGAAAAGCAAAAGTATCAAAATCTATAAATATATGTGTGTGTGTGCAATTTATTCTTATTCCTCTGTAACATAATACAACTTAAAAATATATGTTTGTTTTCAAGAATAGAAAAGCAGAAATATCGAAAACTATAAATATATGAGTGTGTGCAATTTATTTTTATTCTTTTGCAGCATAATGCAATTTTAAAAAAAATTATATATATTTTTTTAAAATTGCCATGGCTGAATACCATACATTCAAAATTAATGTTCACTATGTTTTTCTTTGAATAAATTCTTTATTAAAAATAACAAAATACTTCAAGTATAAATACAAAAAAAAAAACAGAAAAACAATTAGAAGTGTCTTTCCTAAGTTGTTAAAGATTGTCTCATTGCTTTTTTAATATCATGTACTTTAGAAAGCATATAATACAGATGTGTTATTTGATTATATTACTTTCAAAAAAAAATATTTACTTGTAATTTCTTCTATTATTAAGCAGTACAATTTGGAAAAAAATGTATTAAGAGTTTTTTGATAATACATACAAAAATATTAGAGGCTTTGTTTTCAAGAAAAGAAAAGCAAAAATATTGAAATATATAAATATGTGTGTGTGCAATTTACTTTTATTCTTTTGTAGCATAATGGAATTTTAAAAAAAATTGTATTTTTTATTATACATCAGTTCAAGAAATTTTTTTAAAACAATTCCTTTAGACTAAACTTTCACTGTATAATTGAAACTAATGTTCACTATGTTTTTCTTTTAATAAATTCTTCATTAAAAATCACAAAATACATCAAGTATTAATATTACACACACACAAAAAAACAACAACAATTAAAAGTGTCTATCCTAAGGACTGTCTCATTGCTTTGTAATATCATGTATTTCAGAAAGCATATATTACAAATATGTTATTTGATTATATTACTTTCAATAAAATATCATTTACTTGTAATTTCTTTTATTATTATGCAGTACAATTTGGAAAAAATGTACTATGTATTTTTCATAATGCATACATCATTAGAGGCTTTGTTTTCACGAAAAGAAAATCAAAAGTATCAAAATCTATAAATATATGTGCATGTGTGCAATTTATTCTTATTCTTTTGTAACATAATACAAAAAAATATTATTTATTAATTACATTAAATAATATAATTATAATAAAATTATATTATTTAATTCATCAGTTCAAAAAAAATTACAGAAAAATTTCGTTAGACTGAACTTTGATCATACATTCAAAATTAATGTTCACTATGCTTTTGTTTTAATAAATTTTTTATTAAAAATAACAAAATAATTCAAGTATAAATATCATAAAAAAAACAATTAAAAGTCTCTATCCTAAATTGTTAAAGACTGTCTCATGAATCCAGGAAGAGAAAGATTGTACCCTAGTGTAGACTCCTGGTGTATTCTTCCTACCGCAGCCAATGCCAAAAGATATCACTCCCAATTGGTACCAAACAGAATTCTTGTTGCAAACCAATGGGCCACCTCCGTCTCCCTACATAATATACAAACACATATGAACAAGAAAAAATAAGTTACAACCAAACATCTCAAGATTATCAAGAATTGAGTTCATCCTATACAATAAAAGAGGCAATGACCACCTGTTCAGGGTCAGACTGACCATAGATATTAGGGATGTAATGAATATTTGGCCACTATTCGGCCCAGCTGAATACTGAAGTTATTCGGCCGAATAATGAAGTTATTCGGCTGAATCTGAATAAATTCATAATAATAAAGAAAGATATTTTTTTAAATGTGCTTTTAAATATCATGAATATTGCAGAGTTACATTTCACTGCATTAATTATTAGAAAATCTAACATTTACTCAATTTAAGTTGTATAATACATAAGTGTATTTAATAATGTTACATAAATAAAAACGTTTTCCTGTTGCAAATTTATCATCATATGTATTTAAACAAGCATTGGAATCTTTTGCTTTAAAATACAAATATTTTTTAAAATATAGAAAGTTTAAAAAAGCAAATTTGTTAATATTTATTTCATTTTTAATTTAAAATCTGAAAATTATTTAATTACAAAATTAAAATTTCAAAAGTGAAACTTCTTAAAAAGTTCTTAATTTTCTGGGTTTTAATAATTTTTCTGGCAAAAAAGAAACTTAAGAATACATTTAACAGTAGTAATGAGTTCTTATTTTAAATAAAATAGCATATAAATTACAAGTATAACTATAACTAAAATATGCTATTATTAATTATTTAGATTTATAAAAGCCATATTGCCTTGTTATTGGCATCAAGATATTTAAATTATTACAAAAAATAAATCAAGTTGTTAAATTTTTTTAATTATACAAAGATTGAAAAAGCAATTTTGTTAATATTTATTTCATTTTTAATTTAAAATTTGAAAATAACTTTAAATACAAAATTACAATCAAAAGAGAAATTTTTAAAAAGTAAGTATTTGGCCTAAAATTTGGCCCCATCACTAATAGATATAATATTGTGATTCCCCCTGGGCCTAGGCTGTTATAGATGCCCTGCTTTCCTAGGATCCTACATCTATTTAAGCTAAAAGTTTTTGAAAAATTTAAAATTGTTTTAGAGCATATTTAATTGTAATTTGTTTTATCAATATTATTATAGGGTGCGTAGCCAAATTTTTCAACAAAAAATGAACACCTTAAGTACTTTTTAAACACTTAAAAAATATTTTTAATCAATTTCCAAAAAAAAAAAAAAAAAATATTTATAATTAAGATCCTTGCAGTAATGAAAATTATTTTTTCCCATTGTTTAAAGTTCTCAATTTATAAACATAAAATCAATAAAATTCCAAAAATTTTGAAAAACTTTACATAATCATGATAAAAGAACTAGTTTCTGATAAATAATGCAGAGAAAATTAATTGTGAAAGTCATGCATTTTTTGTAATTTAGAATGGCAATCGACATGGCAAAGAAAAGAACTTTTTTTAAAAGAGAGAAAATTAAGCACTTTTCACAAACCCCAAATAAAAAAAGCACCTTTAAGGGCTTTTAAAAAGCATAAATATAAAATAAGCACCTTTAATCACTTTTCAAAAAAACTATGAACCCTGTATTATGAATAAAATGTGTTTATAGCACTTTTTATATTGAATCAGGCGAATCTCTGCTGGAATATCTGCTTTAATCGCGTGGGGCCTTTTACGATAAATGTTTAAGTCTAAAATCAACTGGGGGGGGGGGGTCAAAAATGGAAGAAAAAAATAGGAAACATTATTTAAAAGCAAAATAACACTTGGGTTTTGTATTTACAAATTGTAAACCAAAATTAAAAGTATTTATTCTGGTAATGTAATTTGTAGGTATCGCAGTTATGAACTAAAAACAAAATAATATATTATGATCAATTTTCTAGAATAGGATTAGATAGAACAGGTCAATTAAAAAGGAAAATTTTTAAAGATGAATGAAATCTTTCGCGAGTTTTATAAATCAGTTTACAAATGAGCAAAATCAGAAACAAGTTTTTCTTAACTTTTTTGTGACAGTTAAAATAATTCATTCATAAAGAACCGCAGACAATATCAGAAGTACATAAAAAGAACATGATATAAAAAATATATAAAAATAACATAATGTAAGAAATATATAAAAATAGCTAAAAAGTAGCACTTTATATGAGAAATATATAAAATAACATGATATAAAAAACATAAAAATAACATGATACAGAATGAAAATTGTGCAAGTTAAAAAAAAATTGCATTGCAAAAAATTGCACAGGGCATTGCTTAAGAGGTCAACTTATAGGGGGGGGGGGGATGAGTCAATGATTTCTTATACACATCCAGCTATTCATAGTTTTTATATGTTTCTTATCAAAGTAAAGAAAAACGTAATTAATTTTTTTAACGCGACTTCAAAAATTTTATTTAGCAAATAACATACATTTGTTACAAAAAGAGATTAATTGCTAGAATAATTTACAATTAGCTACACAAAATTGATATGAATCTAATTAATTAAAAAAAAAGTTAGCATAGTTCGTAAGTAATGCATGCCAGTTATTTACAATAAATAATTTTTCAAAATATCAGCGCTGCATAATAGCATATATGGGTCATTCTCACAAAAAGGTGATTTTTTAAGTCCCTTAGTAATAAATATCAGGGAATACAGCAGATTTCTTAATATTTTTCTTCATCATTTTTTGTAAAGTTCTAACTAACAAATCACAAGCATTTCTGCTAAATGTATTCAATATTTCATTCTTATTTTTTAATAAACATAACTTCAAAATCCCCTCCGTGGACGTCCCTACGTCTGTGACACAAAATAATTTTTAATGGCTGTTAAACAATTTAAATGTTATTTTAATGATTTTTGTAGTTTTACCTAGTTAAATGTTTATAGTAACTTTTTATTTAATATTTTTTTAAAAAAAATTTATTTTTATAAAATAAATGACTAGTAAACTTTGTCCATCAAAAATGAAATCTCCCTCCATGGACAATTAATATAGTTCGGTAAATATGCAATAAAGGGCAGCATATGCGAAATCCCTATAAGACAGCTGCTGGGAAAGGTAACCATTCCATTTTCTAATGTTAACTATCAGTTGTTTTTGTTCTCTTTGGTGTCAGTTTTGGATTGTTGTGTTCAACTGGGGTTTGGCAAAGTTCTCACCGTATACTCCGTGGACATCATAAAGAAGGTAAGAGAAAATTATTTTATTTTTGATAGATGAATTTTAGATTGCAAAAATAGTATATTTAATAAAAAGAACTGCCCCATTTTTGTAACTTTAAAATTAAAAATCAGTAAAATTCAAGAACTAGTTTTTGTCTCCTCCGTGGACATAACAAGTCCACGGAGGAGAAGACACAGTCAATGGAAGAGACAATGTGTTAGATAACCATAATACAATTTTAATAATTAAAAAACTATTTTCTTTTAATTGATATTTTTTAAAATGGAACAAATGTGTTAATTTGTTTGTATTTTTGAAGAAAATTAATCAAGTTTAACTTTTTCTTATCGGAGAAATAAATATTGGCAATTTTTCTAAATAATTTCTGTGATGTTTAACATTTTTTTTTCTCTTCAAATTTCAGGAAAAAAATGGCAAAACCAAAATATAAAAAAAGAAAGAAATCAAATGTTCAAATGCAAAAGAGAAGGGAACACAAAAAACTTAGTATGAGACAAGCTAGACAGAAATTGAAAGAAAACCCTATACTGTTTGAAGAAAGTTAAAAAAAAAAAAGGAGCAAGAAACTTTAAAATCTGTATCAGAAAAAGATTTAACAGAAAAATCGTGATTAAATGTACCTAAATTTCTAGAAATTGATAGAGCAAGCCGTTTGTGCCCAGGGAAAAAAAGAAATATTAAAGAGAAGAAAAGAGAAAAAACAAAAACGTTATTTGGATGACAGTATGTTTAATTTGCATAAAATGTTCATAAAAGAGTACCCTCAACACCCTACTTTCACGTGGAGTCTGAATTTTTATTTCAACAGTCTTTACATTTTAATTTATTAATATTCAGTAAGAGTTACTTAAAAAATTGTACACCTAGGTAAAAAATGGATGTTTCCTTTCATAGCAGCATGATTAATCGGAAGTATCTCTATCTCTAATAATGAAATATTTCATTATTTACTTATTAATGTTAAACTCATATCAGTTGTACTCAATAATTAATGAATTAGTCTTCATTGACATTTTATATTTTATAACATAAAATGTCTCCTCCATTGACTATTACATCTCCTCCGTGGACAAGGCAGAATTTAAAATATTTTAAATCTTGAAAAAATAAAATAGAAAACTTGACCATTATTATAAGGACACATAACAAAAATAAATAAATAAAGGCATTTACGTGATTTTTATCACTTTTTTAATTACTTTAATTTAAGAAAATGTTTTAGTTTATTTATACCTTTTCAGTGAGAATGACCCATATATATACAGTCAGACTTCTATTTAGTGAACTTCCATTTTACGAATTTTTTTGAGGAACCAAGAACATTTTGAAAATTTCTTCGTAAAATAACTTCCAAATAGCGAAGTGAATTTTCTATTTAAACGAACTTTTCTTTGAGATCCACTTTCCCTATTTTCCAAACTATTTCTTAATATTTTAAGCTTGTTAACGCATTTTATGGGGGAAATGACCTTGAATTAATTTTCGAAGCCACTGCTTTATGAAATGTATTACTGTTTTCTCTAAAAATTATCTTAGAGAAAGCAGTAAATTCTCTTTCCCTTTTTGTTTGCATTTCAAACGAAAAACTCAGTTTAAATTAACGGATTTTATCTGCAGAAATTTAACTTAAGAATGCATGTGGTAATGTATGCTTAAAATTACTTTTATAATAAATGTAACCATAATTTTATACATAAATGTAGCTTTTTCTTAGTTGAAAATGCATATAGCATGATAGTGTAACACTGGATAATGTTTTGCTCTATTCTTGCTTGCCCATGCAGATTTCTTTTATGATTAAGATTTATAAAATGAATAGTAGATACTACTCTACAATATAAAGGTGTATTCATTGCTATTTTAATTATGTCTAGTGTTTATGAATTTGAAACCAATTTTGTGTTGCTTAAGTATTTCAAAAGCCGATTTTCTATTTAGAGAATTTTCCATATAACGAGCTTATTATCGGGATTTAGTGACTTCGTTAAATAGAGGTCCGACTGTATATAGCACAATAAAGACAAAAAGGATAAAAATAAAAAAAGAGAAAAAGGAAGAAACTTAATAAGTTTGATTAAATCATTCTTGAAAGTTTCCGACAAATGTAAGTTCATTTTAATTTGCTACTCACTTTATAGATTTCGATTTGTTCTGTTTTTTTCTTTACATTTTATTTTCCGTGATATGTTTTTTACTTAACATGTTTTTTTTGGTTTTAAATATTTTTTAGTATTCCTCACACTGTGTATTGATATATTTTGCTTTGGCTGTATTGATACAGTATTAGAAAGCAGCCCTTTTTTGCGGATATAATTGTGCGAGCTGACGATGAGATTATATCTTTTAATTTTTGTTAATATTTTATTTTAATAATTCCTCTGTTCCTTTTTTCATTAATCGTTATCCTTTTTCATGTTTTCTTCATATTTTTAACTTATAGATCGACTCACTAAATGTTTCAGTTTAGCTTTTGCACTAATTTACCAATTCATTAAAATTTTAATACATAGCATGCAAATAAAGAAAATTTCCAGAAAAAGTATTTATTTCAGTCAATTGATGAAGGGTTTAACCACAAAGAAGGTGATTTTAATATTTTGTTAATACATTATTTAATTTAAATAAATAAAATAGTAATTACATCACAAGCGTCTCTTCCTTCTGCGCCAGCGCACAAGGAACTGCTGGGCAGAACAAATTCTGTTCCAAATTGTAATTGCAGTGAAGATTCACATCGATCTTGTCTCCATATTGGCACATTCACTTCTTTCAACACAAATGAGTGATTCGAGGCTGAAACAATAACATGTCTCAATATTGTATATATCTTGATGGTAAACATAAACAGAGCTCGGTAGAACAAAATTAAACTTTAAAATTAAAGCACAATGAAATATATGGATGTTTTTGTTAATAAAATCAACGATGAAAATAACAGCTATTTTTAACAGGGTTGAAAAAAAATCTAAAAAACCCATTTAAAAAATAAATAAATATAACGAGGTTTTTCTTTTGGTTTAGATCAGGTTTTTTGGTTTATTTGAAATAAAAAGGTTAAATAATAATTTTCACTTTTAAACTATTATAAGGTATTATCATGACAATTTTTTATGATCATAATACATTATAATAGCTTGTTTGTATCTGAGACTATTAAAATCATGGATATTTTTTGATCTAAGATAGCATTGTTTGAGACAAATGTTGAGTTTATTATTGCCTTAAAAATATGCACATACTGTACAAAAAATTATGATAGTACAGTAAATAGTAAAAAAACTCAAATTATCTCAGTTAAAATGCATCTTCTTGGATAAAACTGCATATTAGTGTAAATTAAAATTGAATTTTTGATAATATAAATAATTATTAATGATTGCCTCAATTCTATTTTATTACTAAATTAAACCGAGTAGAATATCAGAATTTGCAAATATTTACACAACTTAGTTAAATATTAATTATTGATAAAATTGCATATTAATGCAAATTAAAATTGATTTTTGATAACATAAATAGTCTTTTATTTAATGGTTATGGTTGCCTCAATTATTATCTTTTTATTAGTGGTTGCCTCAATTCTATTTTATCACTAGTTAAATAAACCGAGTAGAATTTCAGAATTTGCTAATATTTACACAGTGATTCATATTTACACATTTCATTTTAAAACATGTTTTTAATCGCTTCATATGTTTTTTTTCTTTTTTAAAATTGATTAATACAACTGCGCTTTTTAAGAAAATCATTGATTTAAACCGATTTATTTATTTATTTTTAAAATAAATCATTGAGCTGAAAATATTTTTATAAATATATTTCTTAGGATGTGATTCCTGTTAGTCTGATTTCATTGATAATGAGGATTTAATCCAAAGACATTATGAAGGGGTAAATTATTATATTTCAAAATATACTAACAAATAAATAAAATTAGAGATTAAAAGTAAATAAGAATAATGATAAGCTGTTAAATTATGATTTTCTATAAGCTATTGCTAAGCTTAGATTGGTAATAAACATATTTCAATTATACATTTAATGTTTATTTAAGTACAATAAAACACACAAAACAGTACACACTAGTAGTTAGTGTTCGAAGATATTGAAGAAGGACTTGTACTGCCCACAGAAACTTACAATACTTTTTTTAATGTATTCTGATTTAAAGAAATTTACTTTTCATTGGACATCTGACGAATCATCTTCCCGCCTCTAAAATTTAAGGGTGTTTAGCTTAAACAAACTTAACAGTGATTTTATCTATTCTGTGATTAGTTTGTAATAATTAAAACATAATTTTTGTACATCTTAGTTACAAATATCAACTATTTTAGCTTTATTATTGTTTCTAAATAATATTAAGTGCTAATATATTTCATCAGATGATTAGGCTGAAAAATATAAAAAGAATCTGATTTAAATCTAAAGAATCTGATTTGAATCAAATAAATCTGATTTTTTTTAATAAAAAAAAAAGAGTCACGGATTTTGCCAACCATGCTTGCATGCAACTTTAAAAATATTCTTTTTCTCAAACTTCTCTCACTTTCTGAAATCACTTGATTTGGGGGGGGGGAGGAGAGAAATTGGTGATTTGCTTATTTCAGCTGACAAGGGGAAGGAGGGGTATAAAGCAATGCTTACGTAAGACCCATTTCTCGAAAAATGCAAAAAATGTCCTTAACAATGCCTTATTTTTCAAGTAAACATATTAAACTGAAACAATGTTTTCCTCCTTAAAATTACTTTCATTCATGTCAAAATATATAAAGCAATGCATTTATTAAAATTTGAAATAAATTTCTGCTCTTTTTATCAATAAATTTTATTGAAAATAAAAACTTCCAATAACACTATATTTCATAATAATATTGGATTGCTAAATGTTTTATGAATTTTGTAACATAAATAAACATCTTTTGTCTAAAAGTAAATTCTTATACCAAGGAGAAGCTGTTTTTAAAGTTAACAGATGCAAATGCTGCATGCTTAAAAAAGATGCGACAACCATTTTTGTGAAGCGGCTTTATGAGCGGTTCACATGAAATTAGATTACGCTTGTAACTAGAGTTGCAGTAAAATTCAGGCCTTACTTATCATAAGCTGTTTAAAAGAAAAAAAAAACATACACTTATAGGTAAACATGGAACAAGCAGTAACGGAAAGAAAAAACACACTCATAGGTAAACATGGAACAAACAGTAATGGAAAGAAGAAAAAAAAGGTGTTATATTGGTGTTACTTTCCGTCCTTCTTCCCCATCCTGTTATATAACAGGAGGAAGAGAGTAGTTCATTCTCTTCAGTTTTTGTTTGTGGCAGGCAGATGATGTTGATGTGTGGTTTCTTTCGAACAGCCAAAGACACCCTCACCAGGGCAATGTCATTCTCCAGGGTCTCATTGTTGAAACTGGGATGGAGGACAATCCTGGAAGCGTCATACTCATCATAGGGGTGTTGCTCTACAGTAGATGAAACATCATGCTCTCCCACACGAATTTTCAAAAACTTCGCTGATGAGCTATGAAGTAAAGCAATTACAACTTTAATTAAAATCATAATAAAAATTATCAACAATTTTATTTCCTCGAGAGCTGTGATTCATCATGCTGATTTACAATGATTTGTAATCATCATTTTTAATATATTATTATACCGGGTTGCCACTCTGAAAAAAAAATTCCCTGTAGATATTATACACAATATAAAGAGGAAACACACTATCACTATGCTTTTGTGTGAGCTATATTGTACTAACTATACTAAATTTAATTACCGGAGAAACTTAGAGAAAAAAGGTACGGCTGAACATATTTAAAAAAATTAATGCAAGAGTAAATTAAATAGTTTAGTGTAGCTGAAATATCATCCTTAAATATGGCATAGATTGCACTTTGAGTGTTCACCATTTTTTAAAAATGAAAATAAAAAAACAAAATTCCCTGTATTTTCCCAGTTTCTAAATAAAAACTCAAAACTCCCTGTTATTTTACGTGATTTTTAAATTCCCTTTATTTTCCAGGTTTTCCCTGTTCTTGAATCCTTCTCAAAAGCCGAAGTTAAAGAAGTATACATACTAAAATCTTCAAATAAAAACGCTATCAAAATCTGACAAATGACAACTGAGGAAGGCGGAGCAGAAAACACCACAATCAGTTCGCTTGTCGGACGAAACATGAAATATTTCTTATTAACCTTACATCTCTCCACTGTTTTTATCAACAGTCAAACAGATCTTGATATCTTTAGTTCTGTCTTCCTCAGTTGTGATTCATCAGATTTTGATAGCTTTTTGCTGTCTGGCTTAAGAATTACTTGAGTGATGTTAAAGAGAAACTTGTGTATTTTCAACCTGTGTGTATAATCTTTGAAATTAATTCTTGACTAGAATTTTAAAATAATGTTATACACGTGGCATGGCAAGACAATTTTCAGACAAAAGCGGGAATGGCAAAATCATGATAAGACTCGGTAACCTTCAAAATGATTCATCAGTGTAGGGAATAGCAAGAAATGATCCCCACTCAAAGGTGCAACTGTGAGAATTGTAATTGTGAACAATTGCATACAATTCAATTTTTCACAAATTGTAATGCTATATTCAGGATTGAACCAGAAAAAGATGAACAAAATAGTTGGTTTTAGTAGCATAAAGCATGAAAATAGTAGCGGAAAACTATGAAAATAGTTGGCTAAATAATTCAACAAAAATATGACTAAAATTTTATTAAATGACATTGTCATATTCATTTAATCAAGTTGGTGGTGAATATGATAATTTTTATATAAACGCTAGTGTTCTAGCATTAAGTTTCAATATCAAAACAATTAGTATATTTTCAGAAAAATAAATTAATCGAATTAAAAAAAAAATACTTCTTCTAAAAAAATTTTCCAATGAAAGGAAATAACCATTGAAAGGATGATCAAGAAAAGAAATAGATTTACAATGGAATCTGTGCAAATTGAACAAATTAAAAAGTGATGACTCAAATTTGCCATTCAAAATTTTCAACAATTTTTATTTTCTAAGAAAAAAAAATCAGTTTGTTTAGAAGCTCCTGCGAGACACAGGTTTACAACCCAATTTAGGCTAAAAAAACATCGCTAGGAGCACAGAAAAGTCTCTCAGTCTCCTTTTTCTGAAAATAGTTGCTTTTTTTTTCCTTTTTCTTAACCTTTTCAGGCAAACAAAGTTGCCACAGTCACCTCATGCCTAAAAAAGTTGCATTTTAGTTGCCTGTGGTAACCCTGTAATATCATTTTTCTAATTGAAAAGATATGCAATGCTCAGTTAAGACTTATTTCCAATTTCATCAGTTGCTGTTTTGGAGATGTGTTTTGTCTGTTGTTGTTTTGTTTAGACACCAATATTTATATATAATATTAATATAATATCCTATAAATTTAGGATAAAAAAAAGTAGCCATTAAACAAATCGAAGTCTGTTATGAGTTTGGCTAATGAGGAAGCTTCATTAGCAAAAATTTAAGATCAGTTTCACTAGACAACAATCTGAAGGTATTGTGAAATAATTTTGTCACTTTCTTTCACTGTTCAGAGAAAATTTCATAAAATTTCTTGTCTTTTGCTCAACAACTAATATAAGTTTAATAAAATCCTTTGATATTTTTTAAAATCTTTTTTTTAAAGATTGCTAAGCAATTAACTTGCCAANAATCCTGATCAAAAACCGAAGTTAAAGAAGTATACATATTAAAATCTTCAAATAAAAACGCTATCAAAATCTGACAAATGACAACTGAGGAAGGCGGAGCAGAAAACACCACAATCAGTTCGCTTGTCGGACGAAACATGAAATATTTCTTATTAACCTTACATCTCTCCACTGTTTTTATCAACAGTCAAACAGATCTTGATATCTTTAGTTCTGTCTTCCTCAGTTGTGATTCATCAGATTTTGATAGCTTTTTGCTGTCTGGCTTAAGAATTACTTGAGTGATGTTAAAGAGAAACTTGTGTATTTTCAACCTGTGTGTATAATCTTTGAAATTAATTCTTGACTAGAATTTTAAAATAATGTTATACAGGTGGCATGGCAAGACAATTTTCAGACAAAAGCGGGAATGGCAAAATCAAGATAAGACTCGGTAACCTTCAAAAGGATTCATCAGTGCAGGGAATAGCAAGAAATGATCCCCACCCAAAGGAGTAATTGAGAGAATTGTAAACAATTGCATACAATTCAATTTCTCAAAAATGGTAATGGGTTGCCCCAGAAAAAAATTAACAAAAAAGTTGCTTTTAATAGTATAAAGCATGAAAATAGTAGCTGAAAACTATGAAAATAGTTGGCTAAATAATAACAAAAATATGACTAAAATTTTATTTAATGACATTATTGTCATATCCATTTAATCAAGTTCGTGGTAAATATGATAATTTTTATATCAACGCTAGTGTTCTAGCATTAAGTTTTTATATCAAAACAATTAGTATATTTTCAGAAGAATGAATTAATAGAATTAAAAAAAAAAATACTTTTTCTTCAAAAAAAAAAATACTTTTTTTGAATGAATGGCAATAACCATTGAAAAGATGATCAAGAAGAGAAATAGATTTACAATAGAATCTGTGCAAATTGAAAAAATTAAAAAGTGATGACTCAATTTGAAATTCAAAATTTTCAAAAAATTTTATTTTTTAAGAAAAAAAAAATTAGTGTTCAGAAGCTCCTGCGAGACACAGGTTTACAACCCAATTTAGGCTAAAAAAAAAACATCACTCTCAGTCTCCTTTTTCTGAAAATAGTTGCTTTTTTTTTTTAACCTTTTCAGGCAAAGTTGCCACAGTCGCCTCATGCCTAAAAAAGTTGCATTTTAATTGCCTGTGGTAACCCAGTAATATCATTTTTTTTAAATGAAAAGATATGCAATGCTCAGTTAAGACTTATTTCCAATTTCGTCAGTTGCTGTTTTTGAGATGTGATTTTGTCTGTTGTTGTTTTGTTTCGACACCAATATTTATATATAATATTAATATAATATCCTATAAATTTAGGATAAAAAAAAGTAGCCATTAAACAAATTGAAGTTTGTTATGAGTTTGGCTAATGAGGAAGCTTCATTAGCAAAATTTAAGATCAGTTTCACTAGGCAACAATCTGAAGGTATTGTGAAATAAATTTGTCGCTTTCTTTCATTGTTCAGAGAAAATTTCATAAAATTTCTTGCCTGTTGCTCAACAACTAAAATAAGTTTAATAAAATCGTTTGATTTTTTTAAAAGATTGCTAAGCAATTAACTTGCCAAAGAAGAATTTTCCCCTTAGTGTTGTATAGTGTTTCCTTTATCAGCATGGAGAAAATTATTTCCACAAGAGTCCACATACAATTTTCTTTGCAGATCATAAGAGATCAGCAATCAGCATTATAATTAGAATCAGCATCAAATCACAAGTTTAATGGCATGTACACCTTATGGGGGATGACCGTGGCTAAAAATCACAATTCAAAAATTCTCAGCAGATTTTTTTTTTTTTTTAATTTAGTAGATTCAGTAATTTTTATTTTGTTAAAAAGGTATTCATAGAAAAATTCGGTTATGGATGCATGTAGGGTTGTTGTACCCTGATGAGGTTTGGAATTGGATTAATTTTTCTCTTGTTCTATTTCAATTTATATTCATAGCTGCCAACATGGATAGGAAAAAATCCAGCAGATTTCATGAAATAATATAAATTTCATGATAATTGTTGCATAATGTATACTAAATATTTTAAACTTAAGGAATTTTAGGGATTGTTATACTCATCAAATTAGAAAAACGGCAATATTTTTAAATTATGTATTAAACATACTTGAAATGTAATATAATGGGACCCATAATCCCGCAGGATCCAAAATTTGGCACTTAATCCAATTTTTTTTTTTTTTTTTTTTTTTTTTTTTTTTTTTTNTTTTTTTTTTTAAGAAATTTTTAATGATAAGAGAAAAAAAAATCTAGTCATATTCTCTTTCTATTTGGAATTTTTTTCTCTTGAAGCAAGTAACGATATTTTATCTTTTAAAAAATAAAAGCATGAAAAAAATAAATTGTGTCAAACAAAACATCTGTTCCTAAAGAAGTTTAAAATAAAGTGAAATTGAAAAGTTAAAACATCTGCATTTCCAATGAACAAAATAAAGAAATGCAAGTTGGGAAAAACTGTTCAATCAATCTTGACAGCTGTACAAGTGCTTTACTGGTTTGTCCCCACATTTCCCTCTCCTGTTTCACCATAAATTGGCCACACCCTGTTGACATTGAAACTACCAAAATGAATTCTATCCCTTTTGCTGCTTTTTTTCATTGAATAAGATTTATTTATCTTTTTATTAGTTATTAACTGTTATTTTTTTTTGTTAATTGTCAACGTTTTTTTTTCGTTGTTGCTTCTTTTTTGTAGTTATTCATGTTAGTTTCTTAGCATTAATTGTTATTTTTTTTTTGTAGTTCCTTGCTACTTTTTTTTTTGCGAGGTGAGCGTGAGGTGAGCGTTTTTTGCTAAAACAAAATGTTATGTAAAAGAAAAAACGAGAACAATGATCTCGCGCTGAAGAAGAAACGGTTATTTCTTTTTCCGGGAATCATTTCATCTTGAATTATTTCTTCTTCGGATTATTTCTTCTTGATCATATTATATACATTATTATTTTAATTAATGAAATTTATTATTTTAATTAACGAAATTTCTTAAGATTACAGTTTTAAATTCACCCCATCATAATCTACAATCGAAACTTAGTTAAATTGATTGGTTTTTCTGAAATTAACAGCGTAATTGAATTATCGTAATATATGGGTGCCATATTGAAATTTCTGGAAGAGATCCGAAATTCGGCAAATTCCGAAATTTTGTCGGTCCCGTGAGTGCCGGATTTTGGGTCCTTATGCTTACTCATAATTTTGAATATTAATAGGCATTTCATTCATCAAAGACAGTTAAACGATTTTTTTAAAAAAATGAGAGATCTAAATAAAAATAATCTGAAAATTTTAAAACAAAAAAAAAATTTTGAATTGATTTCTATAAATGAGGTTCGCTTTATTACGTTTTAGTAATACTTGTCTAAATATTCCAGCAAGCTATCAATAATTAATACAAAAATTCTATTTCAATGGGGACTGGAAAATCCAGCAGAGTTGGCAGCTATATATCTAGATAATTCTTTAATAAATATATTTTGAAGACGAATTTTGAGCTTATCCTGTTTTAGTGCTTTTCCAGGTTTGACTTAGATTTTGAAATTTTGTTCTTATGCTATCAAACTGAATTTTATTTAAGAATATGATTGGATTGCAGTAGATTCTTTGTAACAACGGATGCCAAAATCGTAAACAGATTTACTTTAATTTAAGGAACTTTACAGCGTCATTAGAACTGAGGACAAATAAAAAATAATTGTTTCGCTCCTTGACTTACTAATCATCGACACAGTGAGCAGCAGTTAGGATCCAGTATTCGTCCACTAAGGATCCACCACAGACATACAAATCCAAAGGTTTCTCCAATATTGCAACCTACAACAGAATTCACACATTTTAATATATACTACATAGTGTCATGTTGAAATATGCATAACATGTTTCCTAACATTTAAATACAAATTATTTTATTTAATCCTTTTTCAATAAATAAAAATTATTAATATAATCTTTATATTTTATAACCACTTGAGCTACCAATTTATAACCATCGTTGAACAGTCGACCCAAGTTTTTGGGTTTACGACTACTAATGTTCAACTCTGTTGACTTGTCATTTTGAACCCAATCCAGAAGACAAGGGAACTCCTGGATCAAGTATTGGGAGAAATTTGACTTTGAGGAGAACTTTTTGATGGAATTAACCTGCATTTGCGCTACGTAAAGAGGAAGATCTCCCACTGTTAGCCTGACGGCAAGGGGACTCTAACCCATGATCCATCTACCACTGAGGATATTTCACGTCAACAATGGGGTCGGTGCGAGATGGGTGCAACCTTGTATCGACCAGCCATCGCTGAGATTCGAACCCGGTTCACCTCATTGGGAGGCGATCGCTCTATCCCCTGAGCTACCACGGCTCTTCAATATAATCTGTAATATTTTTATACCACAAACTTGAATTGAGTGCAGAATAAAATCTATTTTTAGAAATTCACTCTGTATCTGCCTAAGAAAAACATTAACATAGAATTCGAAAACCGTTATATGTTTGCTAATGCTTTGATTTCAATACAATTCGTTATTATTTCTCACACTATCTTTCTCGCCAACACATTTGAATGAGCAAGGCTAATAAAAAGAACCCTGGCAATAAATGTAATTAATTAATAGAAAATACATGGATTTCTTAACTTTCCTTGGGGAAAACTACTTGAAAGTACACTTGACAATCGCAATTTTGATTTCTTGGTGCACAAAGGTGTTTTGTTGGGCTTTGCCCTGCAGCCACACCTGCGGGATATTTTATAAATTTATCATAAACCAAATTTGCATTCCAAAATTTTTTATTTTTTAAGGAAAAAAATCATTGCGTTCAGAAACAGTGTGTAGTCAATCCAATATATGCGAAAAACTTCGCTAGGAGTACAGAAAAGTCTCCTAATAGTCTCTTTTAGTCGCCTGTGGCAACACTAAATTTATTAATGATAAAAATATTGCAGATTATTTTAATGATTTTTATTTAGTGAAAAATGATTAAGTAGAATAATAATTCGGATTTAAATGTTAGGAAATATATTATGCATATTTCAGCACGACACAGAATCCAAATACAATCCTTAATATACACATATTTTTTTCCCATAGATTTCTCTCCAAAAATGAAATAAAAGAAACTATGCATAATAGTGGATGAAAATTAAGATGTAAGCGAGAAAGAAAACTAAATCGTTATTACAATCTGACTAATCAACAAAGAGGAAGGTTTGCACAAAATATCAAAACATGTTTGACTTCTGGGTAAACGAAGAGAGTAGTTAACAGACCACCTTCAAGTTACAATTGGCAATCAATCAGGCTTCGATGTTTTGTTCCTTTTCTACACCTGTTATTCTCAATAGTGCTTCATCATATTTTGATAGCATTTTTAAATTCTCCTTGCTTCCATCTTAACTTGCAACCCTCAACTTGTATATTTTTTAACTTGTATATTATAATTAAACCAGAAGACTAGGAGAAACTGGAAAAATCCAGTAGAGTTGACAGCTATGGGACCATATGTTTGCAATTATGTCGAGTTGTTGCCAAAACGAACATTTGTCCTAAAAACCTCTAAGCATGAGTTTTAATATCGGGATGCATTCTAAAAAATATCTATATTTAACAATATATCGCGAAATTTTTCGAATTTAGCTAATTTATATTATTTTTACATTGCTTAATATTTCTGTTAAACAAATAATTTTTTTAAAATTCTCATATGAATATCGTATTCATTAATTACCGCTATGTATAATATTTACAATATTGTCTTTTTGAGTCGTGGTGGCTCAGGGGGATAGAACGTTTGCCTTCCAAAAAGGTGAGCTGGATTCCAAGTCCAGTGACGGCTGCTCGACACTAACGCCTCGCACCGACCACAATGCTTGCATAAAATATCCTCAGTCGCAGACGGATCATGGGTTAGAGTCTCCTGCCTAGGCAAACCGTGGGAGGTTTTCATGGTTTTCTTCTTCATGTAACGCAAATGCGAGTTAGTTCCATCAAAAAGTTCTCTATGAAGGCTATTTTCTCCCACTACTTGATCCAGGAGTTTTCTTGTCTTCTGGATTAGGTTCAAAATTACAAGACTGCGGAGTTGAATATTACTATAGTTGCAAACCTAAAATCTAGTCGGTTGTTCAACAAAGATTAGAAAATAAAATATATAATTTTTTTGAGACATTATGTTTTCATAGAAATTTATAAATGCAGACCTGCCAACCTTAGAAAATAAAAAAGCAGGAGACTCTTTCTGTATCACGACATAGCGCAATATTGAAAATTAAACCTGATTCACACTTCCTACAAGAAGTTTATTTCAAAATATATTATTTACATTACATAAAATAGACCACAATAAGATTCTGACACTGACTAATAAAGATACGTGTTCTTACTATAAAATATAAGGTTCTATAGAATTATATTAAAACATATCTTTTGATTTTTTCAAATTTAGGAAGAAGTTCAAAACTAACAAAATATGTCAATAATGAATACAATACTTTATAAATGCATTTCTTAATTATTTTTTTTTAACTGCTACTGTTTTAAAACTGCAGATGTTGCTGATTTAGCATTATTTAAAAAAAAAAAAACTGGCATCTATAGAAAGTAAAAAAACATTTTGCCTAATGGTGTCCAAGATATCTCCGATTTTGCCATTTCATTGGTTATTGCTGCTGTTTTGGTTCACACTCACCATAATTTTTAGTGATGTTACGGGGCAAAGTTTTTCTAAATAAATGCCCAGCATGATCTGAAGCACAAGTTGGGAAGGAAATTGCACAAATTGTTGTTTTTTTCCTCTATCTTGCACTAAATAGAAAAAAGGAGGAGAAAACACCCTGAAGGCCTGAGGGTGAAGATTTGAGACAAAAGCAGGAGAGTTGGCAGGTCTGTAAATGGATTTTTTTCACATACGGTTTGTGAACTAAACACAAAAATTAAGGGAAGGGAGATATCAACAAGTAGAATTTACAGTTAAGAAGGTTCTGGAGCTAATTTATTGTTATCGCTACAAGCAGATTCCATTGTTCCTTTAACGTCAAAAAGAATTTATCCACAATCAAATTCTGGGAATTCAAATTAATGGAAACAATATAAGTTTTAATCTAGGCACTTCAACTTATTGTCATATTATTGCCCTAGGGAAATTATCTTTAACCGAAATTTCATCTAAATTAATGTGTTCAGATTTTAACAGGAGCTCTGTGTTGCATGCAATCGGCACAAGCAGAATTTATAACCTCCACTCCCCCCCTAATGTATTATAATTTTTTTTTGTCAGTCACGTATTAGGTTTGACAAAAATAGTTTTCTCCATTTTGGACCACTTGAAAAGCGGATAACTGTTGTTTTTCAATTAAATATCTGAAAGAGTATAGTTTGTCTAAGGTAAGAACTCCCCTAGCCACAAAGTCTGAGCCGTTGCAATGGAAACACGAAGAGCGCATTTTTGAGAGGGTATTGTGTGGCTTTCAGGAGAACTCCTCCAGACATCAATCTCGCGTCGTGGCGGGTACAATGGTTACAAGGAAAAGTCACTTCGAATAGGGGTGTGGGGTGAATAGCTTTATCTTGATCTTGGCACAGGTCAGCGTGAGTAAACCAACCGACAATTTTATTCCTCCATTGCACCCTCAATAGCAATGTACTCTCGCGCGTTACCATAGCAGCAGACAGCCCCAGACTTTTAGTTCGGAGTTCTCCTCAAAGCCGCTCTTCACTCTAGAGCCAACACAGTCGACCGAAGAAAAAGATTCCCTTTCTCTCGTCGAACCGAGTCAAAACCTGACCTAAACAACGACCCCACACCCCTACTTGTTATACCTCGTTACCATGGGTCGAGATAACCTGGTTGGTAGGGCACTGGGCCCGTGTTCAAGAGTTCGTAGGTTCAATCCTCGCCAACCAAAAACTCTCCGTGTAGTAAATGGTGATTGATGCTCATCAAGTCTGTCGAGTCGCAAAGTCCTTCATGTTCCCATAACAAATCAATATATCTGGGGGTACTGATCCAGTGTTTCTTTGTCTTCTGTGAGTACTGTTTCCTTGTCTTCTGGATTGGGTTCAAAATTACAAGGCTGCGGAGTTGAACAATAGTAGTCGGAAATCCAAAATTTGGTCGACTGTTCAACGACAGATAAAAAAAAAAAAACCTCGTTACCATAATTACCGCGAAGGTTCCAGACAAACTATAACACTTTTCTATTTTTACTTACATGCCAGGCCCATTCCCCTGGTTCAGAGTGTCCGTCTTTTCCACTGTCCGCCCCTTTCCTGCCACAAGATGTGAGTTTGCTGTTCTTCGGTAGTATTCCAGCTACCTCGTTGTTACTTTTAGCAAAGCAGCACAACACTTTTTGGGTGTAGTCACAGTAAGCAAACGGTTGACCACCTTTGAATATGCAATCCCAGTATTCTAGGCACTCACAATGGTCATCTGTTCCAAAATAAAACATTATTAATTTCTTTTATATATAGAATAATCAGACTGTCCAAAATATTTTGTATATTTTTCGACAATTTTCGATGCTCTTCACCTTCTGGTCAGCAAAACCCAGCGTTGCAAAAAAAACCCTACCCAGTAATAGCCGGGTGTGGATTAGGCATTAAAACCCAAACGGTGCGTAAAACCCATGTAATGTAACAAATAATGTGTAAAACCCATACGCATTAAAACCCACCAAAAAAGTGGGTTTTACTGTTTTTTTCTAAAATTGATTTCCTATTTATCCTCTGTTATATTAAAGAGCTATTCTATTGAAATGAATATGTAGCCTAGCCTAAAAAAATGAACCAATGGTGAAAAAACTGCGTTTGAAGACTGGAGAGTCACCTTACTGGCTAGATTTGACAGTATGGCCATTGATTAGCTAGTGCCTTTGATTCGCTTTCCATGCAAAAAAAAAAGAAAAAAAAAAAAGAAAAAAAAAAGAAATCCTCAAATATTTTTTAAGATTAAAATACTATAAATAAAAAGTAATCCTGAATTAAAATAAGTTTTTTGTAAATAACCCCAATAAAACACGAAAAACCAGGAAAGCCCAATAAAACCAACCTGGGTTTTTTGCAACCCTGGCAAAAACCATTTCTAGGCTTGCTTAATTAAAGTTGCAACACCTCCTGGTTTTTGCTTTAACTTTGATTTTTAATGTAGTACTAATCTAATTTTAGGATTAAATTAAAAAAAGATGCAGGAAGGTAGGTAGTTCATTTACAGGGTGCGCAGAAAAATCTTTCAACAAAAAATAAGCACCTTTCAAATACTTTTTAAGCACTAAAAATATTTTTAAGCACTATATACATTAACAAAATGCAAATTAATTTTCAAAGACTTTACATGATCAAGATAAAATAACTAGTTTTTGACAAAGAACTCTTTTCTTGGTTATATTAGCTACCATAAAAAGATCGAGAGATTTTTCGATTCGATTTCAGAGGGTGGAAATTGAAGCCTGAAATTGAGAATATCTTTCAAAATGCAGCAGTGTTGCACACGAGAGTGCAAGAATCTTACTGAACCCAGCTCAGTATATGCACATGCGAACCCGCAAATATTTCATCAACCATGCAAAATGATTGGCGATTTCATGAGCCATGGACAGACAGTATGCCAAAATGCATTGTGTTTGAATGAATTCTAAAAACGTTGAATAGAACAATGTGAAAAAACACGCTATTGCATAATACGTGGTGAAAATTGACATGATAAAGAAAAAATCTCATTTTCGAAAAGGGAAAATTAAGCACTTTTAAAAAACTCTTGATAAAAAAAGCACCTTAAATGGCATTTAAAAAACGAAAATCGAAAAAAAAAGCACTTTTTAAAAACGCTACGCACCATGTTAATAAAGTTGCAACACCTCCTGGTTTTTGTTTTAACTTCCACTTTTACTGTAGCAATCTAATTCAAACAAAAGATGTAGGAAGGTAGGTAGTTCATTTACACCACACTAAAGCTGTTAATTAAGCTATTGGCGACGGTCTAGGAAACATCCCTGAGAATGATCCGAAGACATGTCATCACAATTTTGACTCTCTGCAGACTGGATGGCACCCCCGCTTTGGTAGACCAACAACCTACACGCGAAGCCGAGCACTTTACGATAAAACAGTTTAACGAGGATCGATACCGCGCACATTCGGTCCCTGCGCAGATTGATGAATGTGGTCACCCACTCGCTTACTGACCACAGCCAGTGATGCACGACTTCGGTGTTCTACCGGAAACCGTGTCTTTACTATTAGTTCACTACGGGAACAAAAGGATGTAATTTCGCACGAAACAAAATTTACAATTTAAAAAATTTTTAAAATTTTGAGTAAAATATCCTTCAAGAATCTCTTGCATTTTTCTTGTTGCATTCAAATACCTTGAACTCAGAAACTTTTTGAAGAATTTCTTCCACGTCTAAATTGTGCTACATTTTTATATTGATTTTTAAGGCACTTTTGCATGTAATGAGATTTTATTGTGTAACGTAAGCATTGCACACACTCCTGCTACTCCCCTTGTCAGCAAAAATAAAAAAATCACAAACCTCCTGTTCACCATTAAGTGCTTACGCAATATATGAATAGCTTCTATCTTTGTGATCATAAATTATGCTGCATAGTTATACAGTTAACTTTGATAACTTGAAAACCTTGCTTTGTTAAAAAAATATTTTTCACCTTGGCATTATATATCCACCTAATGCTAATTTGAATTCCTGTTTTCAAAGAGTTTCTTCTCAAAATAAAATGTTGCAATATCAATATTTTTTTTTGAAATAGAAAATCAATCACAGTTCATTGTAAACCAATTCTTTTCTATTTAATGTATTATTGTTTTGATTTACATTTAATTAATTTTAAAAATAAAATTATAATTGTTGTATTTAGACTTATAGTCAACTATCATTGCATGCATATTTAATAGTAGTTATTCTTATGTTTCATGATTCAACTTTTTAGAGTAATATATATATATAAATATTTTTTTCACTTTTAGTCTGATTTATACGTATTGTAAGCAAACAATAAAAAGCCCAAAAGTAGCACTATTTAGGCTGTGGACCGAATGCTCAATATCGTTAATAAAAGGATACTTTGTTCCAATCAAAGTTAAAACTTATTAAAACAATCATATTTCATCCATACAATATGAATTTATAAATTTCTAATCACATTTGTTGCACATTAGTATATATTTATTAAAAAACTTCCGCTCTCTTTTTTTTAACAACCCTTCTTCTGCGCGTTCAATCTAAGACCTGTTATTTTGCACCCAAAGGATTTTCTTTAATTTACAAAATCAATTATTGATAAATTTTCACATTTAAATTAAAAAAAAGAAGTAAAACTCGTTTTTTTTGGGGGGGGGGGATTTTAAATATTGGTACAGATATCTCAAAGTTGAAAGGACGCTAAAAAAATTTCGAGACATCAAGTTCAGAACTAAATATGCTCAAAAAAGTAGAAAAATATGTTCTAAAATATTACTCTTAAGAAGTAGAGTTACGAAACATAAGAATAACTATTAATAAATATGCATGCAATGATGATAGTTGACTATAAGTTTAAATAACAACAATAATAATTATATTTTTAAAAGTAGGACAAAAATAATTATGCATTAAATAGGAATGATTTTGAATTGGTTTAAAATCAACTTACATTGTGGTTTTTCCGAAAGAAATTTTCTATTTCGAAAAAAATTCGACATAACTTGGTTTTGAGCAGAATACCTTTGACATAGGAATTCAAACTAACAGTAGGGGGATATGTAATGCCAAGGAAAAAAAAATGTTTTTTTTTTTTTTTTTGACATAACAAATATAATACCAATAATCTAACAGATTTTTTAGCAACTATTATTCTGTACATATTTTAGCTTATTATTACACCGAAACTAATTTTTGCTTGTAATTAGAGGGCCAGAAAAAATTATACATAAAATCGGTGTCCGTCTGCGTCAAAGGGTTAAATCTGACAGTTTCTCTAATTTCCCTTACAGATCACATGAAGGGATAGTGAAACAATGACAAATCTCATTTTCGATATTCATTATATTGCTTAAAATAAAAGTGATGAAATTTTTTTTTTACTCTTTTAGAGTTCGTAGGTNGACAAAAATAATTATGCATTAAATAGGAATGATTATGAATTGGTTTAAAATCAACTTACATTGTGGTTTTTCCGAAAGAAATTTTCTATTTCGAAAAAAATTCGACATAACTTGGTTTTGAGCAGAAAACCTTTGACATAGGAATTCAAACTAACAGTAGATGGGTATGTAATGCCAAGGAAAAAAAAAGTTTTTTTTTTTTGACATAACAAATATAATACCAATAATCTAACAGATTTTTTAGCAACTATTATTCTGTACATATTTTAGCTTATTATTACACCGAAACTAATTTTTGCTTGTAATTAGAGGGCCAGAAAAAATATACATAAAATCGGTGTCCGTCTGCGTCAAAGGGTTAAATCTGACAGTTTCCCTGATTTCCACTACAGATCACATGAAGGGATAGTGAAACAATGACAAATCTCATTTTCGATATTCATATTGCTTAAAATAAAAGTGATGAAATTTTTTTTTTACACTTTTCATTAATTTCATAGAGAAGTAGAAATAATAGTACAGCCATGGATAACTTGGGTGTAATAATGCCAAAAAATATAGTTTCATTATGATTCTACGTTTAATACAAAATAAATTATTTTTGTAGTTCTTTTGTTTAAAATGAGAGGGAGCCACTACTTACCTTGTGAAAAGACAGACTTAATAAAAATAAACAGCACAGGACAATACTTCAGGAAATGCTGCCACATACTCTTTTAAACACCTGCAATTAAAAAAAACGTGATCCAATTTTTTGCTTTTTAAAAGACAGACAGACAGTTTGAAAATCATGTCAAAATTTTTATAATTTAATTTTGATAAAGTAACAATGAATATAAATAATATAATAAATAATGATGAAATAATTATGAATAAAATAATAATAATCTTTTTATAAAATAATAATGAATAATAATTAAAAATTAGTATTTGCAGAAAACTAAAAATGACTATCTTGGGACAAACTAATTTTATAATTGTGTGCAAAATTTTTTTTTGATTAGCTTGAAAAGTTCTCGAGTTATGGAAAAAGTAAAACTAAAGGGTCCAAACATACGACAGCTGTCTATTTGTCTCAATAGTTTACTATTGAGACAAAAATTTTCATATATTTCCGCCATCTTTAGGAGTCTAAAGGTTCGAATCCTCACGTCATGTGTATTAAAAAAAAGTATGTTTTTGTGTCTGATTTAACTAAAAACATCGTCTGCAATAACTAATTAGCATATTTAAATATTAGGACCTCGAACCATTAAGACAAGAGTTCTAACACGTGATCATCTGATCATTAGTTATTCACTTTTTTATTTTGACTATAGCCCTATGCATTTATCCAAGATTAGTATTCCA